AGGAAAACTGGGGAGTAGAAACCTGGCGTGATGTTGGTTTGATCTACGACCTCTATGGCTCGCTTTACTAGTAGAGATGAGACCGCCTCTCGTAACTTCTCTATCTGATGAGTCTTGAAGTCGAACTTGTGAGGGTCGACTGTAAGCGGTGGAGCGGCCTGTAGTTGTATGCGATATCCGTTTCTTAGGATGTTGGATACAAACGGATCTTGAAGTATTCCCCAGTTTTCCCAGTGTAGCTGAAGGCGTCCACCCACTTGTGAAGGTTGTACAGGAACGGCTGGGGGTGGAAGACTCCAGTCGTTCCGAACCCTTCTTTCATCGTCGATAACTCTTGGCGCCTCTGGGTGCCCTGCCTCATCCGGACCTTGCTCTGTAGTTGCCGGCTGGGCGACGAAAGGAACTTTTTCCGCCTCTGGAGCTACCCACTACCCTGTCTACCCTGTCTTGTCCCGTGCTCTCTGTATCCCAGGAAACTTGGACTTGCCCGAGTAGCGCTGGGATGTTTGCCTGATGACGCTGGCCAGAGTATCTATGGACTTGATCATAAGGACCTCCCTTGAGTCTTTGGTAACTTCCTTGGCAACCTCGTCGATTCCTCCAGCGAAGATGGAAGGAGTTGACCACGGGGCTGTGTAGAGTGACTTGGTAAAGTGGTCACTCCAACTGCAGGAGGCGAGGAGACCTTGTCGACGTGCCAGTGTCAGCGCTGCGGAGATGGATGAGAGATGGTCTGTCATAAACTGTTGGTCCTTCTTCTGCATAAGGAGGGCCGAATATATCATCCTATCTTCTTCCGCAGTAGAGTCTCGGGAATTTAGCGATGAGCGTTTCGTTGACTGCCCTTGATCTGTTGAGGCCGAAGAACATGCGCCTGGTCATAGTTTCAACTTGTGCCAACTTTTTGTCTTCAATGTTGTAAGACTTGGCCTTGGCATCACTGATGACTTTGAAGTTCTCATCGATGTCCTGTGCCTTCAGGAATGGATCCATGTTGTGGAAGGAGAACTTTTTGGCGTTGAACTGTGGTAGATGCGGCGCCTGGGCTTTTGTGGCTGACTTGAAGGCTGCGTCCAGGTTCTCGGGGACCGCTGCGATGGGATCAATCGGAGGGAGAGTGATCGTGTCGACATCATCATCCTGCATGAGATAGGTATGAGCCGGATTATCATCCTTAGATGGTGATGCCAAGTCTAGACCGTTGGCCATCCAGTAGCGTATTTCAGCGTCCGAAAAGATGATCCCGCCGTCATCCTCAATGACATGAGTGTTGAGTAAGGGACGTTGATCCTCCTCCGATGGTGATCGAGGTGGAGTCCTTCGCGACTGCGGTGACCTGTGTGGAGACCTGCGCGGAGACCTGCGCGGAGACTTGTGTGGCGACGTTCGTGGAGACCTGCGCGGAGACCTGCATGGAGATCTGCGTGGAGATCGGCGTGGCGAGTGGCCCGGCGAACTGCGTCTGTAGGGTGACCTGCGCGGAGATGAGCGACTGTGGGTTCGCGAATGTCTCGGCGAATCCCTCGACGATCTGCGTGATGCGGAAGATGTCTTGGATACTGTATCTGAAGTCCTTCGCGAATGCCTTCACGAACGCTGATCATCTGATTTCGCATCTGGGGAATGGCGACTGGTCCTCGCGAACGCCTTCGCGAACGCTGGTCGTCCGATTCTGTATCCGGGGATGGGCGATTCCTCCTTCGCGAATGCTGATCGTCCGAATCCGTAGCAGGTGATGACCGAGTCGTCCTTCGCGAATGCCTTCGCGGATGCTGATCGTCCGAGTCCGTCGCAGGGGATGGTTGAGTCGACCTTCGCGCAGGCTGGTCCTGCAGTGTAGATCTGCTGCCAGATGTCACGTTGATGGAGGGCCCCTCAGAGACGACGTCTGCGTTGGAGCCTTCGCGAAGGCTCGGGACCTCTTTGTGGGCTGGCTGTGACTTCTTCTCCAGGCCGTAACGCTGCTCCATCATCTCCATGATTTGTTGGGAGAACTGCTGCATAAAATCCCCCGGGTTGAAGGTCTGCGGTGGTAGTAGCGCTGCCCTTTCTGCGGTGATAGCGACGTGGCCCACAGGACGCTCATCTGTTGTCAGCGTAGATACCTCGGGTTGCGTGGAGATCTGCGCTGAAGTCACCGTAGCTGAGACTGGTCTTTTCTTGGGATGAACCTCTGGGATGATGATCGGTTGATCATCGTAGAGTCCCTGTTCCGTCAACGGGACAATCTCGGCTGAGAAAGTCCGTGTTGTCTGCGCTGACTTCCCCGTGGTGGTGGATGACGCCCTGGGGGTGCGGAGTCTGCGCTGGGTGGTTGACGATTTCCGAGTCTTAGGCTGAGACGACGGGATGTCCGGAGTAGCAGGTCTCTTCTTGGAGGTGGCGGACTTCGTCCCACGCCTCTCCTCCGAGGGAAACTCCAGCGGAACACCAGACGGAAGGGGGTCGTCAGACAGCAGTTGACTGGTGAGGGACTCCGCTGATTTATCCATGACTGGACCAACCCGTCTAGACCTATCTGCAGCACGTCTAAGGACGCAAAGAAGGTATTTATTAAATGCACAAGTAGTTAAATGCTTGCAATTAATGCAGCGGGAGCTGAAAGAACATGGTACCGTGCAGCTAGGGCACAATTGATGAGGGTCAGCAGCAGAGAAACGTAATCTACAATTGGAACAGTTTTTCATGAACGTAAACAACTGAACAAACACGGACTAACCCGTGAATAAACAGTGCTAAATACGATTAAATATGAAACCATATTGTTGAAAGATACTAGCTAAACCTCTATAAAGTATAATAGAGGTGACTAACTAAGTAATAAAAGGATATAGTGCCTATATAGGAGACACAGGCGCTCTCACAACCTGCTCACAGGGCGAAGAAGGAGAGAGTGAAGCGTGGGAAAACAGTGGCGCCACTTTTCCCGCCAAAACCGGAAACAGAGATAACTCTGGTGAGTAGTGATTTTACGTATGTTTTATTGAAGGGAGCTTCAATAAGGAGATACAAGTGTTCCACTATGTTCGCAAGAGGAAGAAGACAAGCAAATAAGCATGAGTCAGGATAAGGAAAAATAATTATTTGTTTGTTGTTTAACACTGCACTTAGCAATATTCCAGCTATATGGTGTCAGTCTGTAAATAATCGAGTCTGGAGCAGACGATCCAGTGATCAACATCATGAGCATCTATCTACGCAATTGGGATACGACATGTGTCAACAAAGTCAGCGGGCCTGACCACCCAATCCAGTTAGTCACCTATTACGACATATGTGGGTTGACAGATTCTAATCCGGATCTTCTCGAGTTCTGTGGGTGTTGCTATACACACATTTATCATAACATAGTAAACAGCACTCCCAGTTTTTTTCATGTTAGTTTAAGTCACTGAAAGAGGATAGCATTTGGTATCGTCAAGTCACTCAAGTTCGATCGACATGTAACTTCGATCGCCCATTTTGAATGGTAATTGTCGCGATACGTAGCAATAACTTACGATATCTACAGCTTTGATCTTCTGGTGACACCGCTTTCAATCGTTTGGACCGGAAAGTGTTTGGTGTCAAGTTACCAAACATAAGTAATAGCTCATATTCAGCAAACAACTACTTTTTAACCCTAGATCAATAATGTAACTTTATCAGCTCAAATAAAATGTAAACAGTATTTATAATTTTTATTTCACATGTTGTAAATTGACAGCACACCTGTCTTCTGCTTGTTTACATTGCTGGCCTGCTATATGTCACATGACCAGACACGTGATATCCTTGTCAAAATTTAAAACTTTGGAAACAAGTAAGGGTCATTTCTTATAGAAAACGTAATGCTTTTTGAGAATTTTCCGTCAATTTGTACCTGATGAGGTTCGAGCTAGTGCCTCAATGATAAATACAACCTGGGCTCAATGTACCCAACCTACATGTCAGCACAGAACAAATTTACGTTTCTGAAAGCCAGTTCGTGGTGTTTGTCGACATTCTGAGGTTTGGTGCCCCTGTCACCATGGTCAAGATGAGCCTGAAGAATAACTCCCTGCATAATACTTGTATATAAGCTGTGTGACTTTTCATCGTTTTCAGAAGTATAAAAACATAAAATGAACGTTTCATGGACATAAATACCATAAAATTACTTGGGACTGCTCTAACTATGAATTTGACACAAGAGATCGTCCTTACAAGTCATCCTGTTTATGCGACAAGCCAGCCAATCATAATCATATGATCGAACTTGTGTGACGTAGCTTTCTGGGTCACTTGTGTTGACAGTGAGAGGGTGGCAATGGCGCGATTGTGAAAAGCAGTAAAAATACCTGGATTTCGGAAATGTTTGACATAAATAAACAAGTTTAGAGGTAAGAGATTTGAAAATAAGATTATATGAATATTACTTTGAAAATTCAGCGACAGTTCTTAAGTGATCGAACTTCCATGACATGAGGATATACAGAGGCATTACATTTTAATGTGGCATACTTAGCTGAAGAGATAAGAATGACATAAAGATTTTTATCTCACCAATATATTTAAGCTGGATTTGCTCCCTAAGAAAGCAATGAATGACCATCATGAATGTGTCAAAAATCGAAAACGTAAAAATTAGACCAAAATCACTTCTCTCGTTTCTTTTATCAGCTTTTAGCATAATATAGGTTACTAGTATCTTACAACGCGTACACTCTGTGAATGGGTATCACAGTAATAATGTCATAATGTATCAATGCACAGAATTGCCAGTTCGGAAAATAATGTCAGTGAATCATATGCATGAGAGTGAAGATGTATCAGTTAGTGCACGTTTGGTGAACGATGCCTTAAGACTAATGTGCAAAGAAATGAAAGACCTGCAGCGCATTATCGATGATAAGCTTAAATCATTGTCATGGGGATTTGAAACGAGGGAATACTGAAGCGTTCACTGTTCACATTGCGCGCGTCTGTCATATGATGAAATTCTTAAATGAACGAATCTAATGTAAAGAGGAGGCACTTACCTCTGTTTACGGTTCCTACAAAATCAAAATGCAATTACAAACTTTGCGTTCGACAGCACTTGTGTGGTGCTAACACAAACACGTTAGGTTTCATAAAAGCTCCTCCAAGCTGAAATTTGTTTACTTCCTGCAGTCTGATTGTTGATAAGTCGTTAACAAGCACCATAGTTTATTTAATAATAGTGACGTTTCTATATTATATAGCATACACAAATTTGACTCCACAAATCCCTTCAATGTCAGGATAGGAATTATTTTAACATTTATAAAGAGCAAAAACTGCAATGAGTAATAGCGACAATCGTGCGTGTTCGATTAGACGAGCAGGAGGGGATGAGCCGGCTGGGGTTTTATCGAAAAGCTTCGTTATCCCTGAAAGTGTGGGTTCGAATCCCGGATGGGACTCACCCTAACAAAATGCTAGAATCGGTACTTTACTGAGAAATAGTCTGTCTCACAGTCGCTGAACCACATTATTTTATCTTCGGTCCAGCCCTATCTGAAATCCTAAAACCTTAGGCAAGTCTAGATCTCCTAAGTTTCCTATCTCATTGGGGCTCCTTTTCAATTTAAAAGTAAATGTTTCTTTCACAGTTATATACATATATTCAGAGACTAAGCTTTAGTCTACCTGAGAAAGTGTAATCTCAAATGTAACATATATGCTATACATCTGACCACTTGTGTATTCATAACTTTCCGACCCTTGGCATAGAAAACGAGATGAATATAACACAGAGTCACTGTCTTGGAAATACAGCGTATATAGTATTGTATTTTGTATTTCATAATTTTTGTATTGTCGTACCACTTAGAACAGGTGCAGGTGAAAACGGTCTCGACCGGGGCTCGGCCCGTTGAGTGCGAAACAAGATATTTTACTGCCGCTTTAAAAATGACGTCAACACATCCTGTACCAGTTTATCTAACCGAACTGACTGAAACGGGAATATGGCGCGAGTTACAACATGGAAGAATGATTGTGATTCACGTCCTCATCCCATTTACCCAAAGCAAGACTCGTTTTGATTAATGTTGTTGGCACCAGGGGTTGAAGTGACTTCAATGTAGGCAAGTGCCTTCATACTGATAGAAAATAATACTCAGACTTCGTTACGTCTGACCAGTAGTGAGTACGATTTTCGTACACTGGTTGTGGGATACGTGTTGATATGTTGACAGGCTGGGAGAATGAACTTGCATGTTCAGTGTGAAGGCTGTGCCTCAAATATGAATGTCCTGAGAATACATTCAACACAACCTTTAAACAGGATCTAGATACAGATTCCTTTGTTGTGAAAGGTTTGTATTTGTGTATATTTGTAATATTTTCCCCTAATTAGTTTGTATAAGCATATGTATCATAACTCAGGTTCTATACCAAGAAACTGGCAAAGGTCTTACCTGCAAGTTTATTGATATAGGATATTAACTACATGGTCCTGTAGGTATTACCTAGACTGACATTTAGTCAAAGAAGTAAATGTCTTGTAAAAAATTATAAATGTGGTTCCCCCAACAAATACTAGTAAATAGTAAAGAAAATGAATTGTAAGCAAATAAACCACACAAAAAAATAAACAGTTTAATATTTGTGCTTGTGCTGTAACAGTCTATACATGTCCTATCAGTGCGCGATTTTTTATCTAAAATCTGCACCGGTGCATGTAAAATTGGCTGGTGCAGGTTATCTTTAGTAACACTATCAGGTTGCACCCGGTGCAAGTAACAATAAATCGTCTAACATCTTGTGTTTTAATTGAGAAACAAGTGACTGGAAGTAATACCTTCTCTCTCTGTGTGACTTGTTACAAGCAGAAACATTTGTGTATTCATAAAGTGACAAATGAAATCAAACAGACTATAAGTCTTCATGAACTAATGAATGAAGTCTGTTGACAGAAACAGGATGAGTGAGAAGTCCACAGGGGCAGAACTTCCATCTCAGTTGGATCCCCTGCAACTTGCCCTCAAGAAGGTCTACTCAATACACAAGGAGAAGATCAGAGGTAGGTTTCCAGCTCCTAAATAGTATCCATTCAGAGGCTATTTGGTGTGAGGGCCTTTCACTGACTTAATTACATTGAAGTCAATGGCATTGAGAAAACTATTTTTTTATGATGATACAAATAAAGTGAGTTGTATTTTATCAGTGATGCAAAACTATCCCACTACAAGTCTTTCATCTTTGTCAGTCAGTGTGATGATATGCCTTTATGCTATCAATTCCGCTTTACGGGTGATGCAGGGGTGGTCACGAAGTAAAACATCAGCAGTACAGAAGTACAAGTCTGCAACTAACCATAACCATGTTTACGCCAAGGTTTATTTCTTTGGTAATTCAAATATATTGACTTAAGACCTTTCTTGTTTCTTTTAGAACTAGCAGATGAAAGAGAGGAATATAAGAAAGGCTATGATCACCTTGGCCAACACAAAACCAGGTAATGTGGCCAGAATAGCATGAATAGCAGATGTTGAACTCTGTGTAGAAGTACAGCTCTGTGTAGAAGTACAGCTCTGTGTAAGGGGTCAGCTACAGTTCCACATGTACTGATGTCGTTAAAGCTAGATGATCATGATGATGAGAATCATTTATCATTCTGTCAGACACTGGTTTGACAGGTCTACTTTTAAATATGGACACAAATAAGTTGGTTTGAGATATTTTCAAAACAGTCAAACATTGATGGATTTCAAGTTTTCAACCAAACAAAATTTAAGCCATCAAGCGCTCCAGTCATCATGTTCATTAATAGATTAGATATAGGCTTTGTGTAGCAAAAACACAGAGCACTACAAACATGACTGTTTACATGATAGAATGTTAAAAGTGGATCTTGTTGTTTTATTGATAGTTTATGATTTTTTATGCCTTATTAGGTTATATGCCTTCTTATGTTATAGGTCCTCTTATGTCACGTTTATTTTACACTTACATTCATTGTTGTCACGTTTTGTTAAGTGGCATGTGTTATGTCATACACCACATGTTGCACCACATGCCATGTCATGTAATATGTGTTGTAATGTTACATGCCTTGTTATGTAATGTGTGTTGCCATGTAATGTGTCATGTTGCATGCCTTGTGTAATATGTGTTGTCATGTTACATGCCTTGTTATGTAATATGTGTTGTCATGTTACATGCCTTGTTATGTGATATGTGTTGTCATGTTATGTGTCATGTTACATACCGTGTTATGTAATGTGTCATGTTACATGCCTTGTTATGTAATGTGTGCTGTCATGTAATGTGTCATGTTACATGCCTTGTCATGTAATGTGTCTTGTCATGTAATGCAGGGATAGAAATACTTTTTTTCTAAGTGTGCCTTTGGGCACCAGGAAAATATTATAAATGTGCCTTTCAGAAATCAAGTGTGCCCACATGTTTTTAGAATAAATAACTGTAGCAATGATGATGATCTCTTGAAATTTATTGTTAGTACACAACAAATGTAACCTGTTTTCTGTTATCACTGATATGTCTTCTGTTTCAGAAGAACATACACAATTTCCTCTTCAGTAACCGAACTATCAGTACTCCCATCACTCTACATGGAAAAAAAGACCCGTGAAGATCCGGGGTAGAATAGGTCTTCAGCAACCCATGTGCTTGCCATAACAAGGCGACTATCTTGTCGTAAGAGGCGACTAACGGGATCGGGTGGTCAGTTTCGCTGACTTGATTGACAAATGTCATCGGTTCCCAATTGCGCAGATCGATGCTCATGCTGTTGATCACTTGATTGTCTGGTCCAGACTCGATTATTTACAGACCGCCGCCATATAGCTGGAATATTGCTGAGTGCGGCGTAAAACTAAACTCACTCACTCACTCACTACATGGAAAAACAACCAGATTTCTTTATATCATCCATCATAATTCCAGTGATTTCCTGGGCGATAAAGTCAATCAATGTTTTTGCTTGTTTGTCATTTCCCTAAGTGTTTTGTTTTGGGGATTAAATGACTAAAGGTGAGTTATGTCTATAAAAAATTAGGCGTGCCATAAGGGCACCGGGAACATTTTTATCCGTGCCATGTCACGCTAATATATGGGGTATTTCGAACACTGTAATGGGTCATGTTACATACCTTGTTATGTAAAGTGTGTTGTCATGTTACATGCCTTGTTATGTAATGTGTCTTGTCTTGTAATGTGTCCTATTACATGCCTTGTTATGTAATATGTGTTGTCATGTAATGTGTTGTGTTACATGCTTTGTGTAATGTGTTGTCATGTAACATGTTGTGTTACATGCCTTGTGTAATATTCGGCCCTCGGGATTTTGCCTCCACGGATTTACCATTCTCTTCCCACAGAGGTTACTTGTCATTTCTTCCTATGAACCTCTGTTCTAATACGGCCATATTTCCCGGTTCTCGTAAAATCCCCTAGCGGCAAAATATCGCAAAACGAATTATCTCCCTTCTTTCTATCCAATCAGAACACGTGTCACATCAACTTAGATTCAACTTGACTAACACAAGCAAATGTGGGGCCACAAATATCCCCCATCTGCCGGGGACTTGTGTTGATGTTACACACAAGACGTTTAATGGCTAGCTTGTCCGTTGTCAACGAGGGCGATGGAGACGCCACTGATCCGCCATAACATGACTGAGTTCTGTCTAGATGAAACGTTTGCGCATCACGCAGGGGAAGAGGTTTAGTTTTCTCGAAGCATACGGAAATTACCGAGGCCTTGCGAATGATCATTTTTGAAACAACGTCGCTGATTGCACAACTAAATCTGATTGCCTCCAATCACCAGTCTTGAACGCTCACACCATGAAAGGGCCGTATTAGAACAGAGGTTACGTAGGAAGATATGACAGGAGTAACCTCTGTGGGAAGAGAATGCGGATTTACATTTGCTACCAAAACCTCGGAGTCGTGTTTTATCCTTTACATCATATCCCACATCAATTGACGTAACTCTAAACTAAGCTAGGCTTTGTCTATTGAAGTGTTGTTATGTGATGTGTGTTGTCATGTTAAATGGGTTGTCATATAAGGTGTGGTGTTACGTTACATGACTTTTTATGCCAAATGCTTTGGTTATGATTTGATATGCTACAGACTGTTGGAGAAAGTGAGGAATCTGCAGAACCAGAATGAGATCCTCTACCGTGAAAACACTCGTCTCCGGAATGTTCTGGATGACCTCCGAGCTCGGTAAGATTGACGGATGTAGCTGGAACAAACTTGATCTGTCACTTATTTGAATTCTCCAGTTCACTGGTATATTAATTGTAGAATAAAACTGAAATGTTGATAATAACCAAAACAACCATGGTTGTTAAAAATAGAGCATTTTTTCTTATCCTGACTCATGATCTTTTGCTTATCTCCCTTCCCCTTGCGAATGGTAGTGGAACACTTGAATCCCTTGAAGTTCCTGAAGCAGACGTAAAAATACACTCACCCACAAGTTACCTCCCTTTTCCCGCATAAACAGTCATGTGACCAGCCTCACTTGTCACTCTCTCCCTTTTCGCCCAAGTGGATGGTTGGGCGAGCACTGGAGTCCCGTATACAGCATTATATCCTTTTTATTTAGGTCCTATTCAAAATTACGCTGTGTATGGATTTGGCAATAACTACTATGTATTATATGTAAAAAATTGTAATTTTTTTTTGTATTTGTGTCATAATTTCATCGTTATGTAAATTTGTTTACATTTCATGAAATCTTGCAGTGTTTGCAGGCACAGGTTATCCGTGGCTGATCCTCGCCCCCAATGCCCTTCGCGCATAAAACCATGTTCTTCCAGCTTGCGCTGTACTTATTGTGTTTATTATCAAATCTACATTCTTTTTCAGAAGAAGTCCTCCTTGGGGTACATATAAGCATTAAAATGTCCATTTTAAAATACCTACGACAGTTGTAACAATATTTCAATAAAATATTTTACCAAACAAAAACTCGTTTTATTTAGTGAGACCACCCCTATAGGGCCCCTCACAGGGCCCCCTACAACCAAGAGCAGGTAACTCTGGCTGCTTACCTTGTACCTCACTTTTCATGCTGTCGTTGACTAGAACGGTCGTGCATGGTCCAGAGAAGACATGTCTTCGCCTGATACTACGATAGAGAAAATGAGTGAGAAAGAGTCAAATCCTGTATGTCTGGTTCCTTCTTTTTCGCACGGGCTCTAGCTGGAATCTTCGTATGACTTTTTTCATTCATGATTTGTTGTAACTTTGCTGGCGTGTTCGCTGTCTCCAGCCATGTGGCAGGCATTATGGCAGACCGAGGTGTCCTTTTGTTATCCCTTCTGCTGGCTTTGAAAGCTTTGTAGTCGGGTTGTAAGGGTTTGATATTTCATTATGTAGATTATGCTTCCCTAAATTCCTCTTTTTTTTTTGTTAGTTATGTACACAATTAGGCTTCGCTATTGTGGCTTTATGCTAGTATTTAATAGCTATGCTGTAGCAGTTAAATATCGCCCGTGCGTTGTATTTTTTCCGTATTATTGTGTGCATATTACATTATGTCAAACAGTCCTTGCTATTAGTCATAGCGCGGTTCTGTTTTTTGCAGTCCAAGGGGTGTGTTACCTGTAGCGCTACCTTATCATCTCAGGATCGCCACCTTGTATGTTTACGTTGCTTGGCGGAGGAAGCCCATGATGAGCAGGGTTGTGCCATGTGTTAGGCATTTTCCCCTCGTTCCATCAAGTCCGTCTTTGCTTCAGGCTGGGGGGGACATTTGGGCGCAGGATCCTCCCTCAAAGGATAAGGATAAAAAGGCTAAGAAAAAGAAGGGTTCTTCCTCGTCTGCATCAGGGGATACAGCGCCTAAACGGCGAAGGGTGCGGGATTTCGGTCCCTTCACCAGCCATTCCTTCCACATCACAGGCACCTTCACCTCATGTCCCTGTTTCAAATCCATTAACATTTGAACTAATCTCCAATCTTTTACAGCAGCAAATGGCATCAGTTCACTCGCTCATATCTGACGCGATGTCCGGTCTCCGTCAGGAGATTGGCGTCCGGCCAGGTATTGTCCCCAACCTTAGCTCAGGCTCTGGTGTGGGGATTTCTGTCGGGAGGGCGTCTGCACCGAGCCTCGTCTCGGCTGCCGGCCACCCCTCCGCTACGGTGGCTACCAACACTCTGAGCCTCGGCTCTGGGCCTGGGTCAGTAGTTGGTGCCGGTGTTACAGGTTCTGTCCCTGTAGTTTCCGCTGTGTTGGAACAGCCTCACATGTCTCGTGCGCGCCCCCCGGTACTTACCTCCGCCTATCCTTCTGCTTCGGCAAAGGAACCTGTTAAATGGGCTCAGCCATTACAGTCGCGGAAGGGTAAGGGCAGAGGCAGGGGCAAGGGCAAGGCTACGGCGCCTCACCAGCCTTTACAGAGGAAGGGGAAGTCAGCCCCGGCTTTCCAGCAATAATTCCTCCGGAGCCCTTGTCGGTACCAGATCAAGCAGTCGGAGTACTGCTCACATCTGGTGTCCATTGCCTCATGCCACATATCCCTGTGGGTGGTCGACTTTAACCAAAAAGGACAGAGGGTTCAGACCTATTTTAAACCTCAAAGGTCTGAACGACATGATAAAGGTACCATCCTGCAAGATGGACACACTGCGTTCAGTGATCTCATCTGTGGAGAAGGGAGACTGGCTCACGTCAATCGACCTCAAAGACGCGTACCTCCATGCCCCAATGCACCCCCGAGTTCAGGAAGTACCTAAGCTTTTCCTTCGACGGGAGGTGCTATCAGTTTCGTATGCTCCCCTTCGGCATCTCCACGGCGCCAAGGGTGTTCACCAAACTCATGCTACTTCCAGTGCAGGTAGCCAGGTCACAGGGCAGGTGCTGTCACCCGTACATAGACGATTGGCTCCTCCGTGCGCTTGCCTCTCACTTGAGTCGAGTTGCGACACTTTCTGTGATGACTATACTCACCAAGTTGGGCTGGATTATCAATCTAAGAAATCAGAGCTGGTTCCCACCCAGGATCTGGTTTTCTTGGGAGTGAGGTTCGAGACAGCACAAGGTGTAGTCTCCCTGTCTCCGGACAGCGTCACCAAAGTCCAGAGAGTTGTATTACAATTTCTCGAGTCCCCAGGGCCTCAGCTCGGACTTGGCTCCAGTCGCTAGGCAACATGGCGGCAATATCGTTCGGGATGAGAGCCGTGATATTGAGAGCCTATAAAGCAGCAGGACTAGAACCTCCTAGAGCTTCCAACCCACACGAAGTCAGAGCACTGGCGTCAATATTGGCTCTGCACGGAAATTGCTGTATATCAGCAATTATGGAGGGCTGCTTTTGGAAGTCGGATACAGTGTTTGCCAACCACTTCCTCCGAGACATAGCCACTGAAGACGTCTCAGGCATTCACCAATTTGGGCCTCTCGTCGTAGCACAGCAACTAACGGTTCCTCAAAGGCGCTGAGTTGAAAATTCTCACCCTTTATCACGTTGATTTGTTAACTTTTACTAAGGAAAAGTATTAGTTTGAAAGTCCATGCGCACAGACTAGGACAGACTAGCACGAGTGATTAAAGATCCTGTAAGAGTAAAGATCTTACCTGTACGTGAAGGGGTCGCAACTCATTTATGATAAAGATCTTATCATAATCTATGGGTTGTTATAGATATCTAGTAAAGAGAAGATACTAGTATATTTTAAGCCACATGAATCAAGATGATTAAACTTGTCTGAGATGGAAGTAAGACAAGAAAGTGGTCCCCCAGAGTTATAACGGAAGTTGGAAGAATAGGATCACGGAAATGCCGTTTTGCAGTTCCCATGGGGGGGGAAACAGGACGTATCTAAGGACAGCTGATGAATCCATGAAGTGGCTTGACCCACCACCAATCCGTCGGATTCTATAAGCAAAAGATCATGAGTCAGGATAAGAAAAAAATATGTATTTTTTCAAGTAAAATTGATATTTTTATACTTATCCTGACTCATGACGAGAAGCCCTCCCAGCCTCTCCGCTGGAAACACTTCGGATTGCACAGCAGATCCAAGTGCATGGGCAGAAAAATCAGGAGAGAGTGACAAGTAAGGCTGGTCACTTGACTGTTTACGCGGGAAAAGGGAGGTAACTCGTGGGTGAGTGTATTTTTACGTCCGCTTCAGGAACTTCAAGGGATTGAAGTGTTCCACTACCATTCACAAGGGAAAGGGAGATAAGCAAAAGATCATGAGTCAGGATAAGTATAAAAATATCAATTTTGCTTGAAAAATTACATATTTAGAGGTTCCCCACGTTCCTCTATATACTACATCAGCAAACCTCAGGAATCCACTATAGTTATGTTTGAAGTCCTGTTTTACCTGAACCAAGTTCTTAACTACAGGGATGGGCGTGGCAGTGGGAAGTGTCAGATGTGTGAGCACCTGCAGGGTTCCATGTCGGCCATACAGGAGGCGTACAAGCACAGCCTGGAGGAGAAGGAGAAGATGATCCACTATTTGGGTAATCAGCAGCAGGGGAAATGAAGACGTGTAACTGAAACTGTGAAACAGAAGTTGGATCCAACTGGGAAACTTAAGCAGGGGAAACTAGATGGGAAACTGAAAATTGAGAAATGAAACATGGGAACTGTAGCAGGAGAAACTGAAACTGCAAAAAAATGGGTACCTATGCTAAGAGAAACTGAAATGGAATGGGGAAAGTTGGTGCTGGGACACTGGAATGGGAGACTGAAGCAATAGGGGTCTGGAATGTGTAAACACAAATAGGGGAAACTAGAACGGGAAACTGAAGTATGGTATACTGACATAGGAATTAGCAGGGGAAACAAAATGGGAAACTGAAGCAGGGGAAACTGACGTGGGAATTAGCAGAGGAACCAAGAATGGGAAACTGAAGTATGGTTAACTGACATGAGAATTAGCAGGGGAAACAAAATGGGAAACTGAAGCAGGGGAAACTGACGTGGGAATTAGCAGGGGAACCAAGAATGGGAAACTGAAGTATGGTTAACTGACATGAGAATTAGCAGGGGAAACAAAATGGGAAACTGAAGCAGGGGAAACTGACGTGGGAATTAGCAGGGGAACCAAGAATGGGAAACTGAAGTATGGTTAACTGACATGAGAATTAGCAGGGGAAACAAAATGGGAAACTGAAGCAGGGGAAACTGACATGGGAATTAGCAGGGGAACCAAGAATGGGAAACTGAAGTATGGTTAACTGACATGAGAATTAGCAGGGGAAACAAAATGGGAAACAGTGGGAGTGGATCAGGGTGGCTGAAGAAAAGGTAACTGTAACTGGGAAACTGAAGCAAGTGGAACAATAACGGAATTAAAAAAATAGTAATTATTCTGAAAACTTTCATTATGGTTAATGATGATCATTATGGGCAGAAAACGACCATAATAGGAAAGAAATAATGTCCTCCAAAAGTTTATCCAGTAAAGTTACATCGCAGTAACATGTGGCCTTGTATTTTTGCAGAGGAGCGATTATCTGAGAGCAACAAGCAAGTGTCACTGTCAAATCTGAAGTGAGTAGGTTTGTCATGACTTGTCTTACACACATACACATCATTCACTGAACATTTTTCTGTAAGACCAAAGGCGAGCTTTTAAAAAATAACACAAAGTGTGAAGCCCAGTTCTGGTGTTGCCTGCCATGATATTTCTGGAACATTGCTAAAAGCCTCATAAAATCACACTCACTGACTCACACAGTTTACAATTTAACTATCAAATGGAAGAAATGCATTGACCAGTCTTGGACACCAAAACAAACCAACTGGTACTATAGTAGGCCCATCATTCCAGCAGATAGTAAATTTTTAAACTTATCCTATCTCACTGTATGCACCTCTCTCTTCTTCTACGACCATGTGTGGAAACGTGCTGTAGGCTAAGTTGAATCAAATCTTGCTGGCCTCTGAACCCCCTGACCTCTGCCCCCACTCCGATATCAGCACCTGTCAATCATCTCTGTAAGCGTGCCGCTCGCTGAGATGATCATGTGACCACCTGTGCCTGTCATTCTCTTTCTTGTCGCGGCGACAGGTGGACGTGTGCTTGGCTATAGAAAGTTTGTTTGCGATTCTCTACAACTATGGGAAAGTCTAATCGCAGTAGTTCTAAGAAACGAAACCATTGTGACCAATGCAACAGTAATTTTTCAGCGGCAGACTGTTTAGGCAAATGTGAATGGTCCCGTCGCTGTACGTTCTGTAAGGATCTTAATGATGATGATTTCTTGGCATATCGCCGGGTGGCTGGTAGACGTTTATCCGATCGAGATCGCCGTCAACTATCTGAGGGTCCGTCGGCATCGAAGTGTACCAAGGCGGAGCGTCGTAAATCTACGGTAGTCTGTCGTTCGAGGTCCCCGTCTCCTATTGAGGATTTCCTAGAAGAGGCGTCTGATTCCTACCTTAGTGAGAACTTAAGACAACTGTTCCGACCGCGTGGCCGTAACCCCATCACGTTGGAAGACTCGTCTCCACCTAGGGTTGTGGTGTTAACTACGCCCCTTCCACAACCTCATCTGTCTACGGTGGTTGTTCCTTCGCCTGGTTCTCATTCGGTGGTTCAGTCAAATGTGTCACTTGATTCTGACCACCACATTTTTCGAAAGCCTCTTGCCTCACTGATCGTCGCTTTCCTTTTGGCCAGATATCAGTTAGAGCGCCGCTTGTTGTGTCACCCGCTTTACTTACCGGTGTTCCCGATCGGCGCTTTCGGTGTTCCCCGGATTGGCGCTCTCCTTCCTACTAGTACTCCCGGATCGGCGCTTACTACCGGTGTGTACCTGGTTCGGCGCTTACCTACCGGTGTTCCCAGATCGGATCGGTGCTTACAACTGGTGGTTCGGTTCGGTGCTTACTGGTGTGCTCACTTAGATCGGCGCTTTTACTACTGGTGATGCTCGGTTCGGTGTTCCTAGTTCGGTGATCTATCGCTCCCGATCGGCGCTTCTCCCGGTATTCACGGATCGGCGCTTACTACTGGTGGTCCTGGTTCGGCGCTTACTACCGGTGCTCCCGGATTGGCGCTTCCTCCTTCCTTACTGATGGTCCCGGATCGGCGCTTACTACTGGTATTCCCAGTTCGGCGCTTATTACCGGTGCTCCCGGATCGGCGCTTCCTCCCGGTGTTCCCAGATCGGTGCTTACTACTGGTGTTCCCTGTTTGGCGCTTACCTACAGTATTACCGGTTCAACGCTTACTCATGGGGTTCCTGGTTCGACGCTCACTTATGGTGCTCCCGGTTCAGCGCTTACTCATGGTGTTCCCGGTTCAGTGCTTCCTCATAGTTCACTGGCTTCAGTATTGAGCTAGGCCAGTGATAACTGTCAAGCTGTCCCCTTCCTCACAAGAGTCAAGCACGTTGATGTATAAGTTCTGCAATGGGAGGCGTAGAAGAACTTGTAGCTCTACAAGAACCTTTATGTATTCAACACAATTGGTTATTTACGGCGCTTCATTGAGACCGATGACTATAGTCTACAAGTAGCAGCGCTAAGCAAGTATGAACTTCAGCTGATCATCTGTTAAGATGATGATTACATTATCTTCAGTGAAGAAGGAAACAATCACAACAGTCAGGGAAGACAGTCTACTTACATCGGTATTACGCGGCGAAATCTTTCGCGCGTTTTCCACTCAGTCTGCTGTACACGTGTTCACTCGTGTAACTCCGGGAGATTACGGACAAGGCCGAGTGTTGATGAAGAAATCAACGACTGCACAAGCTTTTACAAGGATCTTTTTCCTGCAACACTGGTGACTTCACATCGCGGGAATCTGAGCTGAATCAAATGCTGCAATTTGATTGGTCAATGAGAGACATCGCCCTGCGCTGAAGTCGGGCATAGCTCACATAACAGGAAGTGGTGTATAGTTGTAAACAGCTTTTCAACGGGGGAGACTTTTGATGATACGTCGATTAGGAAGTACCTGACAGACTTGTCTTGGTCCCACGAAGCGGATACCTATCCCAGACTTTAATTGCCAGTGATGATGAACGGTGCCATTCCCGGTAGGAGTGATTATGTTGAGTTTGTCAGTCAGCCGGGAGGTGCAGTTTACCGAGGGTGCCAGACGGAATCGCCAAGGCGCTTTCACTTTGGCTGGGTTTACTCGCTTTTTTAGCTGAAGGCCTCAGTTCAGAGGTCACTGCAGCTATGTCCGGACTGTCCGTAGGCATCGATGTTACTACCTTCGCCTCTTTATCAAACGTGTCTGGAGTCATTGGTCTTTTTTACCTATGCCATTCCATCAACTTTACCAATGTTCTGGTAGACTGACGATCCCATGCATCGTATCTACTAACTTTCTCACTCCATCTGGTGGACCAACACTTCATTTGGCGAACTATACGTTCCTACAATCACTGTTTATATGGCCTTCATCACTCTGTGTACAATGTGTACGTTCCTGACATCTCCATGCAACGAACCTCCTACTTTCAGCACTTCTTCAGTGCTGTTATGGTAGCTTGGCTACTCAAACGTATCGTATCTCAGACGGCTGTTCTACGCTCCACAATCGACACTCTCCTTCAGAAACTTGCGATCCAGCCCTGGGCCTGGCTCCGACCGACCCGGGGTTCTATTTGCCAATCTTTCTGGTGCCAAAGCAAGATTCGGACAAGTTGAGACTATTTTTCAATATGAAGGTTTTCCATAAAATGGTTCTACAACCCCCGCCTCACTTTCGTTTGGTGTCGGTGGCTCTTCTCAACAATCATCAAGCCGGGAGACTACATGGTCAGTCTCGATCTCCTGGATGAGTACCTTCACATCCCGATTTTTCCGGCTCTTCGCAAGTTCCTTCGGTTTGTCTTCGAGGGCACCCACTATCAGTGGCGTGTCCTCCGGTTTGGAATTTCTTCGGCCCCATGGCTGTTCACACGGGTATCGAAGCCTATTACCTGTTTCCTTCACCGCAAGGGGATAGTGTTCGAAGCTTACATCGACGACTGCATTCAGGCGCAGACCGATCATGCCCTTCTGCTTCGTCACATGCAGTTTGCTATACAGCTTCTTCGCCAATTAGGCTAGTTAATCAATCTGCAGAAATCGGAACTAGCCCCTACGCGCTGTCTTCAATTCTTTGGAGCAGTGTTCGACACAGAGGCCAACAAACTCTTTGTCCCGAGAGATTGTTTCTGCAAGATTCAGCGATTGGTTTCTCTAGGCACTGGCGCAACCCAGGACGCTTCGTCAGTGGCAGGAGCTCCTGGGCCTCTTGACGTCGGCTCAGGCGTTCACCTTCAGGGGTCAACTACAACTTCGTCCCTTGCAGTTCTTTCTAGCGCCTTCCATCAGAGTGGGAGATCCCGGTGGTGGATGGCAGAATTGAATGTTTGCGAAGGAGTTAGGGCCGTTTGTTCCGTCTCACCACCTGTATGTGGACGTGTCTCTACACGGGTGGGGAGCTCATCTTCTCAATCAACAAGTGGCAGGGCAGTGGTCTCCCGGCGATCGCACCTGTCACATCAACGTTCTGGAGTTCAGGGCAGTGATGCTTGCAATCAGTCACTGGCAGGATGTCCTCAGAGCAACGTCCCTCATGATCTGATTGGACAACACAGCGGTGGTTTGGCATCTCAACAGGATGGGGTCAACGGGGTCTACTCAACTGCTACGGTGGACCCAACGGTTCTTCGATCTGGTGGACAGTCTCCACATCATGGTACGAGCCAATGGGGGGTGAAGAATGTCATCGCCGATTCTCTGTTTCGACCGAGTCGTCCCTCTCCAACGGAATGGAAATTGCATCCTCAGGTGTTCCAGACGTTTTGCCTTCCGCTGACGACGCCGACAGTAGATCTCTTCGCCACCTGCTTCAACCATCAGCTGCCTCGGTTTGTGTCACTGATTCTGGATCTTCTGGCTTGGGACCTCGATGCTCTAGCCATTCCATGAGACAACCTGAACGCTTAAGCGTTCCCACCAGTGGCCCTTCTTCCTTGCGTATTAGTGAAGCTACGCGCAACTCAGAGGATAACTCTGCTTTTGGTCGCGCCCTATTGACCGGCCAGAAGTTGGTTCGTAAACCTCCAAGACCTAGCCGAACCAGATCCCGTGCCACTTCCCGTTCGACCCGATCTACTGGTTCATCCGCACTCCGACCAGCTCCATTGTTCTCTGTTGACGCTCCATCTTCATCGGTCATTAACAGCTAAGGGCTATTCTAAGCGTGTAACTACTGCCATTACCACAGCGCATCGTACTTCTACGAGGTCACTCTACGATGACAAATGGAAGAATTTCGAAGCGTATTGCAGGAAGAAGGGAATCTTATCCCCCACTACGGCGTCCCCGCAGATGGTGGCAGAGTACATTCAGCATCTCCGAACCTCCAGAAAACTCAAAGGTTCTACGCTATCTACCTATTTGGCGGCTCTTAGCACAGTTATTGCAGCGGCCTCGGGTGTGAAGGTGTCCACTGGCCCTGAACTCCAGTCTCTCCTCCGGTCTTACAAACTGGCTGACCAATCTCGGAAGTTCTTGCCTCCAGCTTGGGATCTTTCCGTTGTCCTTGCTCATCTCACGTCAGCTGATAATAAACCTTTGGAGGAGAAAGATTTCGAACATGTCTCCTTTAAGACCTTCTTTTTATTGGCCTTGGCTACGGCGGCTCGTATTTCTGAGTTGCATGCTCTGGATGTCTCTCGGGTACGGTTTAAAAGGTCTAGACAAGGTCATGCGAAAGTTTTCCTTGGTTTGCGGTGGGATTTCCTTGCCAAGAATCAGTTACCAGGTCAGCTGGATCGCACATTCACGATTCCGCCGTTGTCCACTATTTTGGGCCCAGACGACACTGAGGATCTGTCCTTATGCCCGGTGCGTGCATTAAGGATTTACCTAGCTGCCTCACAGGATCGCCGCAGATTGCGTAAGAGATTGTTCATTCCATTGTCTACTGCCTCCACCTCGGAAGTCTCCCGTACTACCTTGGCGTTTTGGATGAGAACTAGGATCCTGCGTGCCTATGCCTTTGCTGAACTGCCTCCACCGTCAACGGTGAAGCCCCATGAGACGCGTGCTCTTTCCTCCACCATGGCTCTTCACAGAAATTGTTCCCTGCAGTCCATCATGGAGGGCTGTTTTTGACGATCAGATACGGTTTTGCTTCACACTACCTGAGGGACCTCTCAGTTACAGACGTGGAAGGTCTACATCAATTCGGCCCCCTGGTCCTGGCGCAGCAATTGTCATCAGCCCGCGTTCGCAGATAAAGCAACCCTTCCTTGGTGGGGTTTGCTTTGTACCTAATATAAGATATCGATGTCATCCGTGTCTTGGTACTTTTTTCTCTTGGGCTTAGATCATTCTCACCTATGGGAATAGGGCGTGTCTGCACTGTCATAAGTTATGACTTCATAGACTGTGAGGCCAGTCTTGTGCTACATGCAGAGATGATCGACACTCCGCTTACTGACCTCTACTCTCTGAGCAATTACGTCAGTGAAGTGTTGATTTCCGATTACCTACATGGTTTTCGAAGCGTTCTGCTCCTGAGTCCTTTCTCACCTTTGGTACGTTAGGGAGATTGGTACTGAACGTTAAACTAGTTGAGCATCCGAACTATTCCCTCTTTCACTGCCTTCCAGCGTGTGTCTGTGGGGGGTAGTTTCGAAGCAGGGACTGGCCAGATTAAGGTCCTCGACTTTAATTCACTGGGGTCACCTGATAAATCGTGGGGCAGCGGGGCCTACTTGCCAAACTGCGTCCTTTTGCTTGTCAAAAGTTGCGGCCGAAAACCACATTAATTCGGGAGCACCCACTCCCTACATGAAGAAACCCATCTCAAGTTGGAGTTTGCATATCGGGAGTTGGTGCTTTCTCCTGGCCTCCTTGGGTTATGCGTTTTTCCTGGTGGTAGTAACGGGGTAATCTGCGACCAGCCTACCAACCATGGGATTGTGCATACAGTGAGATAGGATAAGTTTAAAAATTTGTAAATTTTATTATAAATTGTATATTTATATACTTATCCTATCTCATGCGATAGGACCCACCCGACCTGCCCCACATCACAGATTACTGGAAGCTCCAAGGCGAGAATGACAGGCACAGGTGGTCACATGATCATCTGAGCGAGCGGCACGCTTACGGAGATTGACAGGTGCTGATATCGGAGTGGGGGCAGAGGTCAGGGCGGGTCAGAGGCCAGTAAGATTTGATTCAACTTAGCCTACAGCACGTTTCCACACATGGTCGTAGAAGAAGAGAGAGGTGCATACAGTGAAATAGGATAAGTATATAAATATACAATTTATAATAAAATTTACAATTATGTTGAGATATTTTACTGTTTTGTAATACCAGACCTGGAAAGCTGTTGAAACATCTTGAAACTAAATCAAGTGCAGTAATATTGTTTACTTCTTCAATCTGGACAGTGAACACAATTGACATCAAGAATGATGACTTGAGAGAAGCTTACTGTTGATTATTTTAATCATGTGTGTACTGATATTGTGTAGTCCTCCATGCAATTGACTCAGAACACTTAATTACTGGTAAAACCCTGGTCAGTGGTTCAGTCTGTGTTTGATTTGTGTTCTCAGCTCCTTGGGAAGTATACAACCCAAGCTGTCCTGTTGTACTTGATGACCTTGCTACTTCACAGTTCACTGACTGACAGTGGCGTTGGAGCATTAGATTTTTCCTATCAAATAACATTGATCTGTTATGATCAAGGCCTTATTTCTTTAATTACATGCAATTTTGTCATCGTGAGTCACAGAATGATGGTTTAGCTGAATCTTTATTGCCAATGTGGTTGTGGTTAAAGCATCCGGCATAACATGGCTTGATAGCTGTAGACGCTGTCCAGCGAAGATCAGGGTCCTCAGCAACCCATGCTTGTGTAAGAGCGACTAACAGGATTGGTTGGTCAGGCTTGTACGTTTCACTGATGCATGTCATCATATCCCATTGGCATCGATCTATGCTCATGATGTCAATCACTGGATTGTCTCAGTTATTTACAGACTGCCCTCATTTTGTGGCTTTAGACAACAAACAAAACAAAACAGATCAATGGTTCAATTACTGGTCTCATGATACCAAGAGATATTAAAAGATGTACTCAGTATAAAGGGGTGTTGCATGTACAGGTCTCCTTGGACAAGATAAGGCCAGAGTTTGTACAAGCAGACTCACACATCAAGTGCAGTTATCTTGAATGTGACATAAAACGTTGTTTCACCTTTTCTCATTTGTATTTTGTTTCAAACCATAATGGATTGCTGAGTAAGATGCACATGTTTTGTTTTCCAGCTTGTCAAATCTTCTGACCCCAAACACATCCTTTGATGGAGCAGATAGTGTACTGGGAAAGAGTCCAGCTTCTACAGCTAAAGACAAAAATGGAAACACCTCCACAACTGCTGGTTCCAGAACAATGAAGACTGTCACACAAACACACTGTACAGAAAATAGGGTTGATGAATCGGCAGAGAAGGTCAGTCGGAGATCATCTGGTAGAAGGGGAGCTAATCTCAAGAGGAATGAATGCTTAGATGAAGCTGATTCAGCTGGAAGAGAATATAGCCAGAAAACATCTGATAAGAGACATTTAGAAGCCGGTGATACAAAAACACCACATGTTATACACTGTGCAAGGAGTGATGCTACCTCCAGTACTCTACACAGCCGCACTGGGAGGGAGGGCAGTGGCCAGACTATGTCCGTGGATGAGGAGGGATGTCGGTCTGATGGGTCCAGTGACAAGGAAAGTCCGGAGTCGGCCCGACTGAGGAGGCTGCATCTGGGCAGGAAGCCGGGGAAGAGAAGCCGATACACTGAGGTACTGTGTCCATGTGAAGACTAGAAACTGTTAGGGATCACTTCTGAAGTTAGAAGTTCAATGTACGATGGAAAACTTAATTCCTTAGGTTTTGTGGTATACCCTCCCCTCCCTCAAACTATACTCTGAAAATATTCAATTCCTCGGTTTATGTTACAAAAAATACTGTCATAAAGAATGAGAGATATTCTAGTGCTATTTCATACATTACAGTATACAATGAACAGTATTGTTTAATCAAGGAATGAGTATTGAAAACACAACCTTGTGCAAAAACAGATGTATTTGATTACCACTCCAGCAGCATATGCCTGGCAAATTTGTTGTCAGTTTACATTACCAGCACTGCTACAAACTTGCAGCCAAGTTAACTGTTGCTCTCAATCCCCACTGGCACAAATAACATTCTTGTGGTAAAAATAGGATCGAGGGGAGTTTCTGCATGTTTTAGTTAGTGCAGAAACATATATACTCATGAAAAAAAATAAGGGAACACGTGAAAGTACAAGTGTTCCTTTATTCTTTCCTAGAATTTCACCCACAGTGCAATACAAAGCTTATGAAGAAACCTGGAAGAGAATAAAGGAAATCTTGTACTTTCAGGTGTTCCCTTATTCATCTCCATGAGTATATTTTGGCGCAAGGTCCATCTTGTATTAATTGTGAATTTCTTTGTTTCAGGATACAGTACAGGAGAACAAGAAACACAAATTTGACACTTCCCATGTTCTTAACACATCTGATGAATCACATGGACCTCCTGCCTGGCCACCCAAACAAGCACAGCGCTCCTACCACGCACATCAGTCTCGTGTACTGGTTCAGGAGACATGTGACCCAGACACGGACAGGACAGCCTCCATGAGTTCAGATGGCTCACCAGAGAAGCCATCAAGGACATCTTTAGCAGAAAAGTGCAACAATGCCGATTTTGGTGTTGTCCCAGAGACACTGGGTATGGGGCTTACCAGCAGTGAGAGTGAGTCCGATTCGGACATGGACACGCAGGACACCATCAGGGCCAAGTCTGTGGATGGAAGTCCAGATAATGTACTTGTTAGTCCTCCATCAGATGTGGATGACAAGATGGAGAAGGTTAAACAGATTCTGGACAGGAGAAGTAGGACAGTCAGTGATAAAAAACAGCAGGAAGAGAAAGCAGCATCAAGAAAAGATGAAAGCAGATGTGATGAAAGTATCTTGGATCATCATAAAAAGGGGACAAGATCAAGTGCTAGTGTGGTAGTGACAAAATTAGCATTAGATGATACGAATGGGAAGGATATGTCCCCAAGACCATCATCTCCAGTATTTTCTGGTGTGAAGGGATCTCGGCAGAGTATTGAGTCTCCCTTCTTGTTTGAGGAGGATAGGCCAGACAGCAGCAGGTCTTCCAGTAGGAGGAGTGCCAACATGAGTGGGATGATGTCTGACCAGGAGTCACCTCTCTTGCTGAAACCAGTGGAGGCAGTTGCAGCCTACAGCAATGAATGTGGACAGAGTCCCTCTCTCAAGGAAGCACCAAGAACTTCAGATGTCTCTGGAAGAAGAACACAGGAACGAAATCACACAGACTCCGAGTGCTTGCAAGCTGGGAGGACCTCTCAGGAAAGGCTGCAGAGGACTGTTCATGCTAGAAACTTGAGAAAAGCTGAGAAGCTGAAGCAGACGACACTGAGCCAGGCTTTCACCCCGAGTCCACCTGGCCTGCCTCTGAATGTATCTCCCACTAAACCCGAGGAAAGGGCTGCTATTGACAAGGCTATCAGACTTTCACTACAGGAGATACATGGCAACACAGAGGATGTCAGAACAAAGAAGTCTGTGTTTGTGAGAAGTGATGATAAACCTTGTGATGCTGAGAATGTCCCCCCTATTTTTAAGAGGCCACCTTCACCAAGGTCACTGAGATCTCCAGTCAAGAAGACATCACCACACAAGAAGTCACCACACAAACAGAAATCAGACCGACCTTCCAGAACACAACATGACCATGAGGATGTGATAGACTTAGATGAAACTGTAGCTCCAGATTCAGCATCCTTTGACACATTTTCTAATAAAGGAGGCAGTATGGATCAGACGAGGAAGTTTCCAGTTCATGTTCTGAATGAAAGCCTAGACCCTGATGTAAGCCTGACTCAGTACTGCTCCGATACAGAACTGCTGTCACAGAGGCCAGGCCTGAGAAGAAGCTTGAAGAGAGTCTCGAGGAAAGACCTGAGGTCAGACCAAGGACCCAGGTTGGGATCTCACAGTCAGGGGTCACAGGCAGCCTCTTTGGATGTAGGGGAGGAGACTTGTTATAGAACAAAGGCTGGGAATCATAACTTACATAGCAATAGAACTCATACGGACCCTGCTTCCAGAGATGCTAAATCTACATTTAGCAAGAAGAAAAAAGATGGAAGAGGTTCGACTCCTGAGTCTGGTAATGAATACGTGAAAGACAAGTTAAGAACAACAAAGTCTAGTGTCCCGAGTTTTGATTCCTTCAATGAAGGAGTGTCGCTGGACCATGATGACTACCTTGCTGACAGTGGGGTCAATAAATCAAGTGCTATTGTAGTGAGTGGATCCAGCAAGCCCAGTGCTAGTGTAGAGAGTGAAGGACCATCTCTACACACAGTGGACCACGAGGAAAATGAAGCAGATGTCACCCTCGACCCCAAGTTCATGAAAGCTCACATGTTCCAGGCACAGATTGATATTGATAGTGTGCAAACAGATTCTGACAGTATTCCACTCAGCTCACGCAGTTTCAAATTTGGCTCTTCCAAATCATCCAAATCTGGAGATTCTCAAGGAAAGGAAGCAAGGATCGGTAGGTCTGACTTAATGTAATTTCACATTGAGCTTGAAAATCTTTAAAAACATTTTGCTAATCGACCTAAACATGCAATAAGCATGTAGGCATGCAACTTCTGTTGTAAGCAACTTCTACATAGTCATAATGAGTGAGTTAGGTGAACACTCAGTATGGGTATTGATTTATCACACACATGCTGTATTGTGCAGTGAAAGTTGTGTGATGCAGCTGCATGCCATAACAAAGATCTGATGAGGTTGACTGTATGACTAAACAATCAAGATGCAAATCATGGTTTGAGTCTGAACAGTAGAGTACACACTGGGTTGGTAGATACCTTGGTCTCTGTTAACAGTTGGCTGGTTTCATTGAATATCTACAGTTTCTAGAAGTTTCCTTTGTTCCAGGGATTTATGTTGGTACATGTATTGGGAATTTTGGTTTTAGACTGGAAGTATTGTGGTTGTTAGTACTTGTCATCCCCCGCAACGCATTTTGCGGGGGGTATTAAAATAGACTCCATCCGTCCGTCCGTCCGTCCGTCCGTGTGTGCATCAGTGCACATTTGTCTTTTCCTGAACATTACTCTAAAACCGTTCAATATTTCTTCACCAAACATGGCACATCTGGTGGTGTACTGGTGCCTTTTGGTAGTTTGGGATTTCTGAATAAAATATTTTTGGCATTTCCATGGCAACAAGTTTGACTTTGACTGAAATTGGTGGAAGTGCTCTTTTCCGGAGCAGAACTTAAAAACTGTTAACTGTTTCATCACGAAATTTCATACATAGGTAGGTCTAGTGGTGAACTGGTGCCATTTGCTAGCTTTGGATTTCTGAATAAAATATGTTTTGCATCTCCATGGCAACAACTTTGACTTAGACTGAAATTGTGGCCAAATCCCTTGATGTTGAGATTGTTCCCAACAAAATGAAGGGCAGATTGAAAGTGCAAAAATGTATTGCAATATGCATCATAATAGAGTCGTTATGTCAATAGTTCTTTCTAAGGGTGAAACGGATAGCTCTTACCATGGTACAGTACATATTGCGGTACAAGGCCTTTCTCTTCGGTATATGAGATATGATCATGAAGCAGAAATTTGACAAGAGCCAAACCTTACATTGTTTAATAACATGAAAAAATAACCATAATCTTTGTTATTTTGAATGAACAAAACTCATTTTATGACTAGATAGAAGAACGTTACGAAAACCGAAAATACCAAATTTATTTATTGCATTACGCTATACCAAACTGAAGGCAAAATATCGCTGTTCTACTAATACCTCGGTATACCGTTTCATGCCTAGTTGTTTGTTAGATCACAGGCATATGTAGCTGTACATTATCCGTTTTCTAAAAATTCACCCATTGTATTATAATATATATTTCGCCCCGGCTGTGTTATACCAAAAGACATTACGATATGGTACTTGTTGTTCCCTGCCAGGTGTTCAGCATTAATGGGTAAAACAAGGACTGGTCGGCTCGGAGTCAGTATGTGTCCGAGTGGGGTATTCATGCTTAACTGCAGCATGGTATCTCAGTGAGCTAGCACTATAAAACCAGCTTACATCTGGGCCACTACAAGCAGCCACACATACACATGCACGTCATCATATTCATCACTTTCATCATGTTCATATGGAATTTGGAATGTAACATTTTACTGTCTTTGTCGTATCCTTGCAGGGGATGATGAAGATGAGCTGGAGGAGGAGGAACACACAATTACTCCTGATGGGTGGGGTCACAGGAGGGAGCCCTTGAATGACAGCTTCGACAGGTCAGAAACATTTATATATGCGATGTAATGAATCGCAGTTGTTGTAAACACTTGTTGGGTCAGTGGGGTTGCCTATTAGTTGAAGCGTTTGCTCGTCACGCTGAAGACCTGGGTTTTGATTCCTCACATGGGTACAATGTTTGAAGCCCATTCCTGGTGTCTCGTACCATATTGCTGGAAAATTGCGGCATAAAATGTGCAGAGTTTTTAAATGAATGGATGTCTGTGGGGTCCGAGGTGGTCGTCAGCTGACTTCGCTTAGCTGCTGTCCGAGTGTCAATTCCCCTCTCATAACAAGAATGCTATGTATATATTCACTGTCAGACAGCCCAGTTTTGCATTACAGTACATGTAGAGATTTAGATATATTATTTTAACTTAACTCAGGGAATATACAAACATATAAACTAACTACAAAAACCCACATCCCACCAAGGTGCCAACAATACTTGGCCTGTGTGTAACAGCTTCTACTTATGTCGTATCAATTTTCAGGTTTAGCATTTAAAACATTGTCTCTGTTTTGGGACAGAGATTGTTACATTTTTCAAAATTTGAATTTCTAAAAATTCTTATTTTTCATTTTGAGAGATTTTGCAACATTGTTTTATCATAATTTTAAAATAGCGTTCTGTGCAATAATAAAAAACTAAAATGAAACCTCCAGTCTTATTCCTTTTTGGCCCTGTCACGAGTGAAATACAGTTCCCCTGAGAAGCCATACCAGCAAATTATTGCCCTAGTGACAAGGAAAATAGATTTCAATTTTGGAATTTTTACTGATATTGCTGCAGACTTTGAAATCTACAAGGGCTCAGAGCAGGCCTAGAAGGCATGGCTCAAGTGGTTATTTATCCTATCTCCTTCCAGAGTGCCCAGGAAGCAGCAGGCTGATTATGCCTATGTGGACGTTGTGAGAAAGAAGGCGGAGAGACAACAGCTCAAGGCCTCCAGCTGTCAGGAGTGTTATGAGGTGGGCACAAGGGCTTTTCAAAGCGAAACAAATGTGTTGCTGATACACTTCAATTCAAGCCTATTCTCCCCTGGTCATAGGCTGTTTTTATCTTCAATGTTGAAGCCCATTTCTGGTGTTCCCTGCTGTATATTGCTATGATATTCCAAAAAGCAGCGTAAAAACATACTTACTCACTCATCTTGAATGTGAAACATGGTTGTCTCAATTATTCAATTTGCATCGAGAGTTGCTTCCCTTAGGTATACAATGATCCACTGTTAGTAGTTTTGAATGTTAATAATGTTTTTTATTTAAAAAAGCAACAAGAAAATGGCCGGTATAGTGGAAAAATGATCAGGGCAAGTGATTTTACATGTGCCACTGTACCGGAGTACACTAGCAATTTTAAAGTTATTTCCACCCCTGGACTGCACCCTGAAGTAACCTTCACTCGCGGTATTAGTAATAACCTTCACTCGCGTACTTTCTCTTCTCTGAGCTGATGTGTTAAGCCATGGAAAGGAACACAACAGACTGTACATGTATATTGATGATGAAGCAAACAAGTGTATACTGGTGTCAATGGATAAGTGGTCCGGATCCATGATTTCACTCTTTTTCTGCTCAACTTGTTTGTTCCAGGCTCATTATTTTATCACTATGATATCAATCACTTGTTGATCATGTAGAGACTGCTATCATATAACTCTTATACATACCAAATTGGGCATTCAACTCCAAAAGTTATTTTCAGGCCACCATATTGCTGCTGGAATATTCCAGATTGTGACATTAACAAACAGTGTGAGTACACTCAGTCCCTGTTTCCTCTTCAGTATTACAAGAGCAAAGGCTGCTCGGAGGAGGAAATCCAGCAACAGATCCAGGATTGTTCCCGACACCGAGCCCGCTACCTGCCACCTTCCACACCCGAACACTTCTGGTCCATCGGATTCCCTGACACGCAGGAGTGTGAGGAGAGAGGTGAGAAACTGACTTGCTCTTCCATCAGGGGTTGATATACACACAAGCTCGCTATCTTGGAGCCGTTTTGTTAAAAGCATATAAGCATTCTTAGTGCCAGTAAAATTTCAAACACCTTTGGGAATGGGTAATCCTATATGTTATCACTATTCAGGCTGGTAGAGGTTCTGGGTTTTTATCCCTATTTCTCTATTCTATTGAGCACTCACTTCTGCAGTTTCTCCATATCAGAAATTTGAGAGTCAGTTTTATCCAGAGTTAACTCCCTTTTGCCAGTGAGCTGTAATAGCTGTCTGTTTGCAAAGATGAATGGCTGACCGAAATCTTTTTACCCCCTTGGCACAACTTGATCTTAGCAATTTGTTTGATCTGCTTTCTAGAAGTTGGTGAGTCAGCAATGGAGCATACAACTTCTTGTTTATTGTATCACAATACTATGTATATATGTTAACGTTAATCTAATGTTTGTCACAACATGCTATATGCATATACTTGTCATCACTTGTTGTAGGGTGGTGGGGTAGCCTAATGGTTAAAGCGTTGGCTCGTCACGCCGAAGACCCGGGTTCAATGTGTGAAGCCCATTTCTGGTGTCCCCCGCCATGATGTTGCTGGAATATTGCTAAAAGCAGCGTAAAACCAAACTCAGTCAGTCACTTTGTTGTAGTCACTTTTAGCTTGATAACAGTGTAATAATCTACACCAAAACATCGCTCTATGCAGTAAACAAGAAATTGTTATCCATAAACTTGTATGCTTCATTATTGATCTTAGCACTGACTAGTCTGTGTTAAGGTGTTGTAGTGTTGATGGTAGTTGTACTGAGATTGCTTTCTTCAAGTGGACCCTGGGGCTGAATAGGTGAAACAGCTGTTTGAGAAATGACGGAAATACTGATACGATGGCCATGATAATTGTTTATGAAGAGATATGTATAATTATGAATAGGAAACTTCCTAAAATCTGTGAAGAACAACTGTAATTTGATTGTGTCATATTAATACTCACACTTAATACTAAAGGGGCGTCGGGGTAGCATAGTGGTTAACGCTTTGCTCGTCACGCCAAAGACCCAGGTTCAATTCCCCACATGGGTACAATGTGTGAGGCCCATTTCTGGTGTCCCCCGCCGTGATATTGTTGGAATATTGCTAAAAAAGCAGCGTAAAACTAAATTCACTCACTCACTCACTTAATACTAAAAGTTCTCTTCTTGATATTACATTTCATAGGCTTCTGTGGTGGGCATGACAGAAATAGGCTACTGCATTATAGCTCTTGGATGAGTGTGGAAAGTTGGGCCCATCATCACAAATTGTCTCATATCTGAGCAAAACGTCAAGTCATTGTCTACTGGGATAAAGGGTTGAATTATGTTGAAGAAGTTACCAATACAAACCTCTACTGAAGACATAAGAATCGCAATTGGGAGATGAAAGTTGCTTGTATCCTCAGTGAGGTCACACAAACAAATTCAACTAGCCGGTATCCCCTTTCAATGTTGCTGAAAAACAAAGAAAGTACCGATATGCATGGGGAAATTATTTAAAAGTTATGATTTTGTGTTGTTTGTAGGCTATATCCGGGTAGAGTCACCTTCAAAACAGAAACCTGGGTATCGACGCCGGCGGAAGCTGACCAAACGGTTCAAGTCTCGAGGGGAAGAGGAGAATGACTCCCAGACAGATACACAGAAGTGACAAGGTTGATCAGCACCTTCAGATCACTGTAGACATCTAATGTATATGTGGAGAGGGAAACTGTTTAGTAATAGTTGGTATTATTTTGTTATATGTGTTCCCTTTTGATTTGTTATATGTATTCCCTTTTGATAAGCCATTTATAATGAAGTATTTATATATGAAATACTGAAAATTGCAATACAGTATAATTTATTATTTAAATGTGTTAATGAATTGTGAGTTGACTTGGATACACTAACCATGTCAACATAGGCCAAAAATAGTACATGTATATAACTGGCTGCATTAATATCACTACAACACAATAGTTAATTTTTTCTGATTACTATTTTATCAGAAGTAATTTGCAGGGTGTCCCCACAAGTGATCAAGTTCACCTCACTATCGAGTTGAACTAATCCTGTGGTGGTGGTGAGCTTTGTTTTTGAGTGTGAATGTGTAATCTTATTTGTCTGGAATGAAATGCACCTGTTCTGTTATCTATGATTGAGATGTTCTACACTGTTATGAGCTCAAATGGTAATAAAAAATATTGACATTGAGTGCTGTTGACATGGCCATATTTAACTGAGCTGCAGAACTGATGAGACAAGCTCATCCTACTAACACTGCTCACAATACAACATCTGCAGGAGCTCCAAAAATATATGAAAATCAAGAACTGGAAAAACATTGATCATTCAAGCCAATGTGATATTATTGTGATATTATTGTGATATCACATCCTGGAGTAAACCAACCTTCACTCGCTCAGGGAGATTTGCTTACAACCCACTGATCCTCAACATTACAATAAGCTTTAGTTGGATAGCTTTAGTGATGCTTCATACACAAGCATATTAGACTAGTTAAAGTTGAACTACCTATTACCAAGAAACATTATGGAAATTACAACACCAAGGCTGGACCAGAAGTCCAAGGTCCATGACAATACATATATACAACAATCACATTGCAAGATGATTGATATACTGACACTGGAAGTGCCTTCCGTACAAGATCAACATCCTCTGACAAATGTGTTCTTAGTCACCATTGATACAAGAATATGACAGTATTGGAGCTTTTATTCCGTTTGAAGGCAAATACAAGGAAACAAAATAAGGAAAAAGAGAAGAGGTCCCTAAACACTACCTGAGCACTGGTTCTTTTTCAGCCTATTTGGGACTAAAAGATCATAACTGTGATCAATGGTGCAAAGCTTGTTTAAATAAACAGTTAATAATATAAAGCATGTCATATCATTTGAACCTGAATAACTAAAGATACTTGAGTGGACCCATCAATGAGGACATGTTTTTTGTACACTGAGGGGCACAGAAGTAAATGTAAATACTGGGTCCAACCGGAAGTTTGTGTTTCAGCCTAAATGTCATGGGCAGTACTGACCACATGCTGGAGACCGGCAACCAGTTCTCCATCCCACATTGTGGGCAGTGCACACTGACTAATATATATGAGCATTAAGTACTGCCTGATTCAAAATCCAGTTCTGAGAAATTATTACAAGCCATGGAATCCTTTTTGTCAGCATGTTGTATAGATGTTCTGATGCCAGGTAGGACCAAGAGACTAGTTCAAATCCTGAATGAACTGACCCAGGCACTGCACCATGAATAGCAGAGGATCCCAATGTTGATATTCCAATGTCCGATCAGCAGCATGAGAAGACGCCAAGCAAATGTAATCAGTGAGCGATTGATTCATAGGTTTACAATAACTGTTCACATGAATCAAGGAGTGGGTTGGGTGCTGATACCTCATAGACTTCTTCATATAATGTCAATAAATCAGTGAGTATTGCTTACATCAACTTTTCTATTTGTGTAATGTTCGTGCCAAGGGCCCTGTTTCTCAGTTCACTACTTCTTTCAATCAATGAATCAAACCAGTCATTTTGAAATACACGTCCAAAAATCTCTAACAGTGTGTTGTGCTTCATTAATATCCAATCAATATGTACATATGCAGCAGTACAGATTCACAGATTTGATGACTTCAGTAAGGGACATCCAGCTTCAGGAATGTATCCACAAATTTGTTGTCTTCAGCATACTTTTCTAAAGGACGCCTGTTTTCATGAGTTTCTTGATGGTAGCCACCAGTTTGAGATACCCTGCAGCACACCCATCCGACTCCGCTCCACACTGGTAGATCTGCCATTTCCCTGCTTCATCTTTCACCACATAGCACATGATGATAGCTCGGCTGTGGATAGGCTTGTCAAATGATGTAGAGCAAAGATCAGCATTAGTATTAGAGGCTTCATAGAACTGAAGTGTTGGATTGGGAAACTTGGAGACAGAAGGGGCTTTGAAGGCGCTCAGGGTGAAGATAAGATGTGACACAGATGCTGGGATCTTCTTCATGTGAACTTCAATTTTATGGTGCCCACGTTTTTTAGTATCATCCATATGGTCACCAGAGTGCTTGATGGCAGCCTTGCAACCGTCTTCTGTTCTCACATGGCGCATGAGATTGAAACGAGTTTTTTTAGCAGATGACCGCTCTGATTCATTCATGAAGTCGCAAACAGAGACATAGATGTTGTTTTTGAAGGCAAAGCATGAGGCATCAAGATAGTCCCTGTTGTCTTCCCCATCGCTGGCGGGATAGCCCCAGTGGAGGTCAAAGATGACATGGTCCAGGTCATCTGGGATTGCAAACAGAAGGACAAGCAAGTGGATTGTGGCATTTGCTCCTATGCCATAGTCGCCAAGTGTCATCTCTTTATGCGACCTGCCATAAACCTGTTGTACAACACAGAGAAATATACACATCTTAAACTTGCAGATAGATATGATCATATAGCTGGTAAATGGTGATAAAACAAAATAATTTTTATTAACACCCATAGGTTTATAGTTCCATCATCATCCAAAAGCAAAAGTATGTAATGAAATTAGGAGGAACAGAAGAGGACATGTCTAGTGCTGACAAACCAAAATATCTCATTAATTTTTCAGATTCTAACTCAAGATCATCTGGCTCTTGCATGCATGAGTTTAATACATGCACATGACAATTTTCCAAAAGACGGCAACTCAAATACCTCTAGTACTTTTTCGTTGTACACAAGCTTTTGCTTGCTGTGATCGTGTTTGAACCTCTCTTTGACTGCGTCTTTCAGTTGAAGGATTGTGAGATTTTCACTGTAAGGCAGGACCACTGCATCACCAGTTAAGATGGAGACTTTGACCACATCTCCACTCAATGACATAGGTGGTGTGTATTCACAGGTGTACTCCCGGAACATCTCCTTCAGTGTAGCTTCAAGAATCCTCATCACCTGGCTGTCGGGGTTTACTTCAACACCACACTCCTTATAAGGGCATTGCTTGTTGTCCGCCACATGCTTGATTACACACTGCAAGCAATAATATGATACCTCATAGACTTCTTCATATAATGTCAATAAATCAGTGAGTATTGCTTACATCAACTTTTCTATTTGTGTAATGTTCGTGCCAAGGGCCCTGTTTCTCAGTTCACTACTTCTTTCAATCAATGAATCAAACCAGTCATTTTGAAATACACGTCCAAAAATCTCTAACAGTGTGTTGTGCTTCATTAATATCCAATCAATATGTACATATGCAGCAGTACAGATTCACAGATTTGATGACTTCAGTAAGGGACATCCAGCTTCAGGAATGTATCCACAAATTTGTTGTCTTCAGCATCCTTTTCTAAAGGACGCCTGTTTTCATGAGTTTCTTGATGGTAGCCACCAGTTTGAGATACCCTGCAGCACACCCATCCGACTCCGCTCCACACTCGTAGATCTGCCATTTCCCTGCTTCATCTTTCACCACATAGCACATGATGATAGCTCGGCTGTGGATTGGCCTGTCAAATGATGTAGAGCAAAGATCAGCATTAGTATTAGAGGCTTCATAGAACTGAAGTGTTGGATTGGGAAACTTGGAGACAGAAGGGGCTTTGAAGGCGCTCAGGGTGAAGATAAGATGTGACACAGATGCTGGGATCTTCTTCATGTGAACTTCAATTTTATGGTGCCCACGTTTTTTAGTATCATCCATATGGTCACCAGAGTGTTTGATGGCAGCCTTGCAACCGTCTTCTGTTCTCACATGGCGCATGAGATTGAAACGAGTTTTTTTAGCAGATGACGTCTCTTCATTCATGAAGTCGCAAACAGAGACATAGATGTTGTTTTTGAAGGCAAAGCATGAGGCATCAAGATAGTCCCTGTTGTCTTCCCCATCGCTGGCGGGATAGCCCCAGTGGAGGTCAAAGATGACATGGTCCAGGTCATCTGGGATTGCAAACAGAAGGACAAGCAAGTGGATTGTGGCATTTGCTCCTATGCCATAGTCGCCAAGTGTCATCTCTTTATGCGACCTGCCAAAAACCTGTTATACAACACAGAGAATTATATATACACATCTTAAACTTGCAGATAGATATGATCATATAGCTGGAAAATGGTGATACTACAACATAATTGTTATTAACACCCATAGATTTATAATTCCATCATCGTCCAAAAGCAAAAGTATGTAATGAAATTAGGAGGAACAGAAGAGGACATGTCTAGTGTTGACAAACCCAAATATCTAATTAAGTTTTCAGATTCTAACTCAAGATCATCTGGTTCTTTAATACATATACATGACAATTTTCCAAAAGACGGCAACTCAAATACCTCTAGTACTTTTTCGTTGTACACAAGCTTTTGCTTGCTGTGATCGTGTTTGAACCTCTGTTTGACTGCGTCTTTCAGTTGAAGGATTGTGAGGTCTTCGCTGTAGGCAGGACCACTGCATCGCCAGTTAAGATGGAGACTTTGACCACATCTCCACTCAATGACATAGGTGGTGTGTATTCACAGGTGTACTCCCGGAACATCTCCTTCAGTGTAGCTTCAAGAATCCTCATCACCTGGCTGTCGGGGTTTACTTCAACACCACACTCCTTATAAGGGCATTGCTTGTTGTCCGCCACATGCTTGATTACACACTGCAAGCAATAATATAAGCGTATGAAACACTGCTGAAACTGAATACTGTTGCATTAAAGAAGATATATCTACAAGATCACAGCAAATGATGTACGTTTTGGCTTGAACAGAATCAAGTTTTAGGTTGCCCAGGTTACAAATACTCAGAAGGATAACAGCATATACCATAGCAATACGTTCGAGGAAGAACGTACCAAAACACATAAAAGGAATTGACAGCCATAGGAGACACGAAAAGTTACAATTGGTCTTAAGCAGCTCATGCTTGTTTGAGGCGACTAACGGTGTGGGGTTGCCATGCTTTCTGACTTTGTTGACGCGTCATCGTATCCCAGTCGCGTAGATGGTCATGGTACCAGTCATTGATCTGTCTGGTCGGGGTTCGTTTATTTACAGGCCACCATATTATAGCTGGAATGTTTGTTTGTGGGGCGTCAATGGAGCAGACAGTGACAGGACAAAGACTAATGCAGATGTCAACTGCAGACGCCCCCAAATAAAAAACAAAACAAAAAACCACACCAAACAAACAACCAAACAAAACCGACCAAACAAAAAAAACAACAACAATAAAAAAACAAACAAAACACACACAAAACAAGCAACCCACTCCCCACCCCCAAAAAATACAAACAAAACACCTCGTGGAAATTGCTGTCTCTTGACTTGACCTCGATGTCATCCCTCCGATTTGATGATTGTCAACGCTTTGACACACATATATACGTGTCTAAGTGACATTCCTCCCTCCCTCATGCCTACAACTTGCAATCTACTGCATGGCTTCAGATGTGATTTCTGGCTTTTGGAAATTTCATAATGCTCATGATGTGGGCCTATCGGCATCATCCACGCTGTACTCATTTAATCCAAACATATCTTCAATCATTTTACATTTATTAGCTTCATCTACATGATCTAATCAATCCTTGTTTTTTATTGTTATTCACTTATCAGTAATGGTCGGCGCATAAACGTTTAGTTCTGAGAAGGGTGTAACTATGACCCCAAGGTTTTGAGGATACATTCCACTTGAATTATATGTTCTGTTTATTCGTTCGTTTGCTGTTAATAATGCACTCGCCAATATGAAGAGGGTCTGTAAATACTCTGAACCAGAAATTCAAGCCACCCAGCCTGCCCACCCGATCACCTCTAATGATCAGCATAGATTGCCGGAGTGAATATGATTGAAGTCGTGCACTTTATGAAATACATTGTCTTGCATTTCTAGTCGTAACCAGGGATATATCTCATACGCCTCCACATGCTCTTGTTTGCTCAGATGCTGTCATTATGTTGAATACGGTAAGCCTAAAACGAAACTGCGTTTCCAAGAACCAGCGAATATTGGAGAAGGTAGAGAGAATTTCACGCTCTGGTAAAACGAAACTACGTTGTATCGCTCTTCCGAGAATCAGCGAGTATTGGAGAATGTAGAGATAATTATGCGCCCTGCTAAAACGAAGCAACTTTGTATCGCGAGAATCAACGAATATTGGAGAACAGGGGCGGATACAACTTATTGAGAAGGGGGGAGTAGGCTGTACACTTTGGGGGATATCAAATACTGCCCTGATTAGACTGTTGTTACGATCACAGGTCGTATAGTATCTAATATATGACTCACTGTCGCATTAACAACTTCCATTCACTGTCTCAACAACATCTTACCCGCATGCAGAAAAATCGTGGATGTTTGCACTCTGTCGTGAGCTTCATGGAAGGATACTCATTGGAGAGTTTGTCAATGCCACACCCATGACACTCCATGTTAGCCACCTGTAAAGCATAAATAAGTATGTGGTGCTCAAATATCACTGATTAATACCTATTGTCACAGTTTACGCTTCATCACAGATCTATGATGATGCTGTATGGCTGAAGCAATGCCGATGCGAGGTTAAATTAGATCACATTTTAGAAACTAAGTGAGAATGGCAAAAAACAGCAGGTCCACATTTAGATCAGATTCACACCATTCCACCCGGATTCACAACATTCCACAAAATCTCCAACAGGCTTACACGATTCCACCTGAATTCACTTCATTCCACATAATCTCCAACAGGCTGACACCATTCCACCCGGATTCTCACCATACCACACAATCTCCAACAGACTGACACCATTCCACATAATTTCTAACAGACTGACACCATTCCCCACAATACCACGCGGATTTAAAACATACCACACAATACCAAACGGATTCATACCATTCTACATAATATCACACAGATTCATACCATTCTACATATCACACATATACATACCATTCTACATATTATCACAGATACATGCCATTCTACATAATATCACACGGATTCATACCGTTCTACATATCTCACAGATTCATACCATTCTACATATCACACAGATACATACCATTCTACATATTATCACAGATACATGCCATTCTACATAATATCACACGGATTCATACCGTTCTACATATCACACGGATTCATACCATTCTACATAATACAACACAGATACATACCATTCTACATTTTATCACACAGATTCATACCATTCTACATATCACACAGATACATACCATTCTACATATTATCACACAGATTCATACCATTCTACATATTATCACACGGATTCATACCATTCTACATAATATCACACATATACATATCATTCTACATATTATCACACGGATTCGTGCCATTCTACATGATATCACACAGACTCGTACCATTCTATATATTATCACACATATTCATACAATTCTACATGAGATCACACAGATTCATACCATTCTACATATTATCACACAGATTCATATCATTCTACATAATATCACACGGATTCATACCATTCTAAATATTATCACGCAGATTCATACCATTCTACATATCACACGGACCCGTGCCATTCTACGTGACATCACACAGATTCATACCATTCTACATATTATCACACGGATTCATACCATTCTACATAATACCACACAGATACATACCATTCTACATATTATCACAGATACATGCCATTCTACATAATATCACACGGATTCATACCGTTCTACATATCACACAGATTCATACCATTCTACATATATTCACACGGATTCATACCATTCTACATAATACAACACAGATACATACCATTCTACATGTTATCACATAGATTCATACCATTCTACATATTACACAGATACATACCATTCTACATATTATCACACAGATTCATACCATTCTACGTAACATCATACAGATTCATACCATTCTATATATTATCACACAGATTCATACCATTCTCCATAATATCACACATATACATACCATTCTACATATTATCACAGATACATGCCATTCTACATAATATCACACGGATTCATACCATTCTACATAATATCACACATATACATACCATTCTACATAATATCACACATATACATACCAATCTTGATATTATCACACTATCTGTATTATCCATGATGTCACGGACCATTCTACACATTATCACATATTCATACCATTCTACATAATATCACACGGACACATATACATACACATTCTACATATTATCACACATATACATACCATTCTTCTACATATTGTCACACGGATTCATACCCATTCTACATGATATCACACAGACTCGTACCATTCTATATATTATCACACATATTCATACCATTCTACATATGAGATCATACATTCTACATATTCATACCATTCATACCATTCTAAATATTATCACGCAGATTCATACCATTCTACATATCACACAGATTCATACCATTCTACATAATATCACACGGATTCATACCATTCTAAATATTATCACGCAGATTCATACCATTTACATATCACACGGAAACGTGCCATTCTACATTATATCACACGGACTCGTACCATTCTACGTGACATCACACAGATTCATACCATTCTACATATTATCACACAGATTCATACCATTCTACATAATACCACACAGATACATACCATTCTACATGTTATCACACAGATTCATACCATTCTACATATCACAGATACATACCATTCTACATATTATCACACAGATTCATACCATTCTACATCTTATCACACAGATTCATACCATTCTACATATCACACAGATACATACCATTCTACATGTTATCACACAGATTCATACCATGCTACATGTTATCACACAGATTCATACCATTCTACATATTATAACACAGATTCATACCATTCTACATAATATCACACGGATTCATACCATTCCATATATTATCACGCAGATTCATACCATTCTACATATCACACGGAAACGTGCCATTTTACATGATATCACACGGACTCGTACCATTCTACGTGATATCACACATATTCATACCATTCTACATGAGATCACACGAATTCATATTCTACATAATATCACAGGGATTCATACCATTCTACAGTTTAATATGTGTCTCGGTTATGTATCAAAACGTTGAACATAAGCCTATAACCTATAGCCTTTACATCGACTGAATAAACGTTTATCTGATATTTGAAAAGACGTTCATTTCATGACATTAGTTAACTTTGTAATCCTTTTTCGTATAGTACGGTAATCTGAATTAGTTATGCAGTCAGGTGAATTTAACCTTCTATCGCGTTTTGACAGCTACATCGTGGTATGTGGACTGGATTGTACATACCAATCTATAAACAATCTTACCTTAAAATTATAGTTCAGTATCCGGACACGGATTTTATGCGTACCTCCTTTCAGCTCCACAACATCCTGGAACCTGTTACCTTTTGTAGGTGGACTCGTCCGTATATTTGCTGAGCGAAGTGGGCGTCATTGCACCAGTGTGGGGACGATACCTCCAGAGCGCGGCGGTCAAGTGTTATAGTGCACCATTCGCAACTAGAAGGTAGGTTTCTCACGCCATCGAATATGACTGTCAGACGCTTAACCTGCTCCTTTCCTGAGTATCGTTGGATCTCGTCATACAATGATAAAATATGTTATTAAATTAATTTCCTTTTCGATGTTAATGCTATTCTTGGAGTAGGAACTTGTTTTGCAAAAAAATAACCAGGATACCTAATGTCAGTTACACTTTAACTGCTTCAAAATCAGGGCATACTCAGGTTTTCAGATACGTCCTTTGTGCCCTTAAAGCTACAATGGTCTTAAGTGCACACATGATCCTGTATGTTCTTGCTATTCTTACTGCTTGTTTCATTGCACTTTTTCACCGGTCTGTCTTATACACATAAAGCGTGTATGCTCATCAAGGGGCGGTGGGGTAGTCTAGTGGTTAAAGCGTTGGCTCGTCACGCCGAAGACCCGGGTTCGAATCCCCACATGGGTACAATGAGTGAAGCCCATTTCTGGTGTCCCCCGCCGAGATATTGCTGGAATATTGCTAAAAGCGGCGTAAAACCAAACTCAGCCAGTCAGTCAGTCAGTATGCTCATCAAGAGTTTATGCACAAAATGACACGCTACACGAGAAAAATATATTTCACCACGCAACAGATTCCAATGGGCGTAAAAACCAAAGAGCTGCGAAAATTATATGACTGGATCGCTGAATACCAGTGATAACACCAGATTAAAAAGGGTATACGCACAAAGTTTGCATTTAAGAGAAAAGTAGGTTTTGTGTGGCCTACATCACACTGCAGTGCTATTGCCATGCGACGGTAGAGTTCAGACAAACCAGACAATCATGTGACGGACCAGACATAGTCATACGGTGGCACATTTGCTCAATTTGTCGAAATTACGAGAGGTTTGTACATTTTGAAATGTGAAAGCTGTCTACCAATGCAGATATTCTGCAGTTAGGAAAAGTGCTTGATTAATGTCTCGACATAAACAAAACTACATCTATATCATGTTCAAAACCTTTGAATGTTTTATAATGTTTTATACATATACTTTATAAATATAGACTCTTTTCGACCCATCGTTTGTGGCTCACCTAGGAAAATCTGCAATTTCGTATTCGTATCCAAGGTCTTGGTTCACATGTGCGTTCGAGCTGCTGATATGGGCCAGTCTAAGAAAGAGACATCGTCGGCTCCGCTGTTAAAATAGTGAAGCTACGTGTGTTTCATATGCCCTTATTAGGCAGAAATTGCAGTTGTGTGTGCGTGCCGCCTCCTGTATAAGACAAGGCTACTACCCTGCCCAAGCACTCGTGTTGTGTGTTTTGTTTCCCATTAAAACAGTATCATATTTTACATACGCCTGTCGCATATATGTGCACTTGGCAATAAGGTAGTTACTATGTAATGACATTACGGATGGCTTGCATGTAAACAAACCCGATTACCCTTTGGGAAATTAATGGTATATTCCTGAGGTCGCCATTTTGGATTTCATGAAAATAAGGAGACACTCGTCACTTTGCTATCAGGATTCATCTCTGTACAGCACAGGACGTAGACCTTGAATTCATGTTGGATTGTATTTTGATCGTGGCAAGTTATACATAAATGTAGCAAAACCTACCATAAAGTGCATTGTTGTCGAGTGAAATTATGTTCATTACGGTAAGGCTAAAACGAAACTAGCTTTACGTTGCGTTTCCAAGAACCAGGAAATATTGGAGAAGATACCCCGTATAAGAACTTTACACCCACCCACTTTTACACACTGATTTTCTGGGACGTTTCGTGAGACGTCGCTGATAAAGAAAGTATAACCAACACTGAGTTGTTTCTGGAAAGGATATTCATAATTATGTCTTTGTTGGACCTTGCTTTTGTGATGGACTGCACGGGCAGTATGGATTCGTATATTGATTCTGCAAGAGAGAACATCAGGCATATAATTGATCAAATATCCTCTGCGGGTGGGAGAAGTGTCCACTTTGCTTTAGTTGAGTACAGAGACCATCCACCACAAGACAAATCCTTCATCACTAAGCCGCATAACTTCACCTCCCAGATCGCAAATATGAAATCGTGGTTACGTGACTGCTCAGCCGACGGTGGTGGTGATGAACCAGAGGCCGTGGCTGACGGACTACAAGCGCTGTTGACTTTCTCCTGGAGAAGTAGTGCGACTAAAATAGCCGTGCTGATTGCTGATGCACCACCACATGGACTTGGAACTGATGAGGACGGATTCCCATTGGGCTGTCCTCTCGGGCACGACCCCTTTAAAGTCACAAATAAACTCGCATCTCAAGAAATCACTCTTTATGTCGCTGGCTGCGAACCAAGCATATCACCCTACAAGGATTTTTTCACTGGATTGGCTTACATTACTGGGGGTCAGTATGTTCCTCTTGCGTCTGCTAACAACCTCGCCAAGATCATTGTTTGTGGTGCTGAAGAGGAGATGTCACTGGAACATCTGATGAAGACAGAGGTTGGTGCAGCCATGAAACAGTTACAGGACGCAGGTGTTGAATTCGACGAAGACCTAATGGAGTTACACCTCTCTGCAGAAATGGCCAGGAAAGGTATTACAACAAAGAAGTTGAGACGAAACAATGCCAGTATGGGAGATGTGAGTGATAAGGCAAAGGTCATTTCCCAGATGGCCGACTTGGCAGAGTACAGGAGAACGGATCTCACATATGCTCGCCCTGCTTCCGTGGCCAGTGCTGCTGTAGGTGACGTGTTTGACGTGGAGGAGAGTGAGGTAGATTACGCCCAAGTCCAGAGAATGGTACAGAAGTCCAAGATGAGGAACAAAGCACTGTTTGAGGATTGACATGTAACTGGGAATTGAATCGGACATGATTTTGGTTACAAAAGCTTCAAATTTCCTCCACTGGTCTACCAAAAAAGTGTTCAAAGCTACACCAAGGTCTTGAATATTGTAACATCGATGAAACAACTTTGTCAACACTTCTATTTGAAATATCAACAACAAATGCATTGAGTATATATATGCGTGCAAGTAAGTCAGTACTTGCATTATACACTTTTCAAACCAATTCACCTACGTGTTAAAAACGGAAGGCCAGGCTCATTGAAACTATTTTGGATAATGAGCTCTGATACATCAGGGGTCATCTGTCTTCAGGTATGACGCCAATAAGTGTGACTAATTGCTTATTATGATGTCAAAGTGTAAAATACATGTCTGAGTGGTCAATGTTTGTGTTAGCTTGAAGATGCGCTGCTAATTTTCATAAAAGCATAAAATGTTATAACTTGGTAGTTCTAGATAAATTTAATTGCTGCAATAGTTTATGTATAAGTGATTATGGTGATCGACAGATCTATTAAACATTGTAAAGTTATTTTTCTCTGTTGTTGTTTATGATGTTCACGGGGAGCATATACACGTCTCCCGATCACTGAGAGGAGTTTAAGCTCACTAGATGACCCCAGTAACAGGCTGAGGTCATTGTTGTTTTGTAAGCATGTTTTGCAAAGAAGATTCTCAAATATTTTGGTTTATAAAGTCTGTGATGATTGATGATATACATCTTGCGAGGTCTGGCATCGGTATCGTGCACACATTATAATGGAATAGTGCAACTAAAAACACTGAAGCCATATTATTTACTATGAAAGATGGCCGAAAAAACATTAATTCGAATTTTGATTGCTGCAATATAATTTGATTGTGATAAACGTTTGGGTTTGACCGCTTCTTCTAACGGGAGTTGGCATCATCATATTCAAAACATCGTAAAATACAGTAGACATCTTTAGAAAATGATTGGAGGATTTCGGAAATTAAAGTTCCTACTAAAAGAACAACACCAGTTGTTCTTCAGGATTTACTCCCACCTGTAGCAGGCAACCGGGCAATGTTTGGCACACAAGAATAAGATATATGACGAGTACACCTAATTATGATTTATTTAGAATTAATATAAACATTGATGCATCATGTGAATGTGGCCATGGATATGAGAATGCTTTTAATTACTTCCTTGAATGTCTTTTGTATACTATCCAAAGACATGAACTGTTAAAATCTTTAGGAAATATTGTTAAAGGTCACATGCAACGTAAAACACAACTTAATGTGTTGTTGATATTTCGCAGCGCAAGCTTTAAATGTGTTATGACAGTAGAATATACCGAACAAACTTTATGGATAACAACTTCTTTTTCACCACACGTTCTCGTTACCGAGTCACTTTCGTTTCGATACAGATTCTTGTACCGTTGTCAAGCATAATGGAACATGAAGAACGTTTCGATACAGATTCTTGTACCGTTGGCATAATGTATATATATACTGGATGTAACAATGTAACAAAGAAAACAACATAACAAAGAAAACAACATAATTAACATAATTGGCTAGGCAGAAAGCTGATGAAGCCAGAGAGTAGACAAAGGACAGGCGTGGAAGCCAATGATGTACAAATAATAATGAGATGTTTATACAGCAGAGTTTATACAGTAGATTGGGCTTGGTGGATGAGTGCATCATAAGCGGATGGAATGAAGTATCCTTGGTCTCGGTTGATGGTGGGCTTTTGGCGTTTGATGTGGATGGCTTCGGTGAGCTTGCGTTTAGTGAAGTCTGTTTGTTTGTTAGAGAAAATGGTGATGTCAGACCCCTCTATTTGATGATTGGGACTTGCTTTGATGTGGTCGGAAATGGCTGATTTGCTGTCGGAATTGGTAACAGAGGTCTGATGTTCTTTCACTCGGGTGTTGATGGGTCGGGACGTTTCGCCTATGTAGCTCTGCCCACAATCACAGTTTATTTTGTAGATGACACAGTTTGGGTTGATCTTTACGGTGGCGGGATTTCTTCCATTGGCATTGAGAATGTTGTTAAGGTTGGAGGACGCGGAGAAGGTGGTATCTATGCCAGCTTGTTGTTTTAGGAGACGGCTGATTTGATGTGACGGTTTGCCAATGTAGGGGATGGATATCTTGATGGGGACTGAATCTGGTTTGGGTCTTTTGGTAGGAGGTGACAGGGTTGCAGCAATGGTTCTGTTGACTATTTGGGATGGAAAGTGCTTAAGTTCTGCGAAGACTTTCTTGAGGTGTTCGATTTCATCTTGTAGTTTAGTTGAGCAGATGTTCTTGGCCCTTCTGGTTAATGTGGAGATGATGCCGGTCTTAACTTTAGGTGGATGATTGGCGTTGTAGTGGATGTACTGATCCGCATGGGTAGGTTTTCTATATACAGTGGTCTGGAGTTGGTTGCAGGAGGTGCGGGACACAAGGACGTCAAGGAAAGGTAGTTGCTGGTTCTGTTCGGTTTCCATGGTAAACTTGACGCGGGGATGTTGGTTGTTGAGATGGGTCCGAAGCTGAGTGGGATCTTGCTGAGGTTGGAGAATGACGAAGGTATCATCCACTTTGCGATACCAACATGTAGGTTTGAAGGGTGCAGTATCTAGTACTTTATCTTCCAGGACCGTCATGTAAATTTCGGTTAGGATGGGGGATAAGGGGGAGCCCATGGGAAGTCCATGAATTTGTTCATAGATCTCGTCCCCCCAGGTGAAGTAAGTGGAGTTGATGCAGGTTGAGGTGAGACTGATGATGGAGTCAGTTGAGAGGCTGGTGTTGAGGGGTTGTTGAAGTTTATCAATTCTGTGGCGTAAGGCTTGGAGCGCTTCTTCTCTAGGTACATTAGTAAATAGGTCCACAACATCGTAGCTGATGATGGGACCTGGATTGGAGATGTCACGGATCTTGCTGCAGAAGTCTGTTGAGTCGTTGATGAAGGAGTTGGCAGATTTACCTAAAGGAGAGAGTACTTGGGTAAGGTGCTGGGCAGTATTGTAAAACACCGTATCACGGGAGCAGACTAGTAGACGGGTTTTCACAGGATTCTTATGGATCTTGACAGTTGCTCGGGCATAGGGTGGCTGAGGATGGGATACTGATTGTTTGCGATACAGATCTGTACAGAGTTCAAATTTATTGTGCAGGATTTTTAGGGTGGACTTGTGCTGACGATTCAGCTTAGTAGTAGGATCCGTATTGATCTTCTTGTACGTGGCGGTGTCATCTAGCAGGTTGTCTACCATGGTGTGGAAATGGTCTTTGTCTAGAACAACGGTGGCCTTACCTATGTCAGCTGGGGCGATGACGATGTCCGGGTCTTGTCTCAATTGTTTGATGGCTTGTTTCTCTGATGGAGTGATATTGGGCTTCTGTGGTTGGGCCTTGTAAAGAATATTGCAGATCTGGTGCCGGAGGTAGTCAACCTTCCCACCGGGTGCTAGTTGTTGGAGGCCTTTCTCAATGTTGGTGATGAACATGTCCGAGGTTGTTCGTCGTGGTGTGAGGGCGAATTTCAGGCCTTTGGCAAGGGCGTTGACTTGTTGGTTGGAGAGCTGCTTGTTGCTGAGGTTGACGACTGTGTTGTTGGTAGCAGGGCTGGTGATCTTCTTGAGTTTGGTTGGTGAGGCAGTGAGAAAATGTAACTTCTTGACGTGCCCGGTCTTAGTTGAGAGATCTAGTTTGTTGTTGGCGGTTGTCTTCGTAGAACTTAACCACTTTCCATCTTTCAATCCCAAATAGTCAACAGAACCATTGCTGCAACCCTGCCACCTCCTACCAAAAGACCCAAACCAGATTCAGTTCCCCATCAAGATATCCATCCCCTACATTGGCAAACCGTCACATCAAATCAGCCATCTCCTAAAACAACAAGCTGGCATAGATACCACCTTCTCCGCGTCCTCCAACCTTAACAACATTCTCCATGCCAATGGAAGAAATCCCGCCACCGTAAAGATCAACAACCCAAACTGTGTCATCTACAAAATAAACTGTGATTGTGGGCAGAGCTACATAGGCGAAACGTCCCGACCCATCAACACCCGAGTGAAAGAACATCAGACCTCTTTCAAATTCCGCCAGCAAATCAGCCATTTCCGACCACATCAAAGCAAGTCCCAATCATCAAATAGAGGGGTCTGACATCACCATTTTCTCTAACAAACAAACAGACTTCACTAAACGCAAGCTCACCGAAGCCATCCACATCAAACGCCAAAAGCCCACCATCAACCGAGACCAAGGATACTTCATTCCATCCGCTTATGATGCACTCATCCACCAAGCCCAATCTACTGTATAAACTCTGCTGTATAAACATCTCATTATTATTTGTACATCATTGGCTTCCACGCCTGTCCTTTGTCTACTCTCTGGCTTCATCAGCTTTCTGCCTAGCCAATTATGTTAATTATGTTGTTTTCTTTGTTACATTGTTACATCCAGTATATATATACTTCCCCCTTCTTCATGTTCCATTATGCTTGTCAACGGTACAAGAATCTGTATCGAAACGTCGGACTCACGAATAAAAGAAGATGTTATCCATAAAGTTTGTTCTATATTATTAGCGTTGACAGAATTTCTAACTGTGATATAGATATGTCGTTGTCACAGACAAAGCTCAATGTCTGTTTTATTGACACATATGTGTTTGCCTGCCTGTCTGCTAATGACAATATTCAATACACAACTTCGATCACTGACCACATGCAATTTGAACTTAACACCAATCAGGCTATACACCATAAACAAAACGCATTGATTTATGGCCCGAGTTCGGTCTCTGTCACATTATGTAATTATACTGACATGCAGGTGTGATACTTGTACACATGACATGTTATGATGTTTGTTGATTGCAAAATGTTATACACAAAAAATGAGCATGTATTTACAAAACCAAACATCTCTATATATACACACACAAAGAGCCGTGAAGGCGGCATCTGCTAATGAACCAGCCGTTACACTTGAGTGCACACCCACCCGCTCTGACTGGGTTCGGTATCCCGGCTGCTTCGTTTCTAGGGAAGTAAACCCAAGTACAAAATATTGCACTTTTGATTTGCGATTGTACGCTTATAATTTTGTTTATATGTTTTTTCATAATCAGCAATGTATATTATATGCCATGAATTAGTGATAATTGTGTTTTAATTATGTATGATTTTTTGGTTGCATGTGACCTTTAAAAATAGAACACTGATTGGTATTTTTCTTATCCTACATGACAAAACACTTTTGCGAAGAGAAGACAGATTATCATTTAATCACATTTTAGGTCAATCCATTCGGAAATGTCTTTCACAAATCACGACGTAGAAGAACTTGATACGAGAACTGACGAATGCCAGTATGAAGTATTAAATAGAGATTATTATACGAGCAAGTGTGTCATATGACTTATACGAAACGAGTGTGAAATTTTGTATTGCCCGAGCGAGAGGGGGGCAATACACAATTTTGCACGAGTTTCGTATAAGTCGTGTGACACACTTGCGAATGTAATAATTTCTTTATTATCAAATTTATTCATGAACATTTGTGCAGTAAAAAACGGTAAGCAAGTGTGACTGCCCTGTGCATTGACGTCACGTTCAATTGTTTGTGACGTCAAAGTGACGCCACAGACGACGAAATAGAGAAACAATGGTTGCAAGGCAAAAGTGATATGTGCACATGTGCACATATGATATATATGACACAGGTTATGTTTCACCATATAGGTAATAAATAGAGAATACTACACGATGTCAGATAACATAGGAATTATCACGAGTTTCGCATAATCTGACCGATGTAAAGCGAGATCGAGTGTCGTATAATTCGTATGTATTTATCGAGTGTGGTATTTTATTTATTACCACGTCTTACATGCATTTAAATTGACAAAATAGCGTATTTTTGTTATGTTTTGGTTTCAAACCGAAACCGGTTTCATAAAGAGGTTTCGGAAGAGTTTTGTACTGTAGTACAATATTTGCATGACGTCACACTAATGACGTCACTGCCATGGTAACCGACGTCACGATGCATGTCAATTGTCATCGCCTCGTACAGCCTCCTACAGTAAACTACTCCGTTGCACCTCGTTTCTTGGTTTCCAGTTGCTTCATTCGGCTAACATCACTGGTGGAAACATTGCGTTTATGTTTTTCGACAGATATAATGTCTCAGTTCGACTCACAATTAAACAGCGACACGGCAACGTTCGCAATGTTTACATTCCCACAATGCATTTAAGTTGTAGAATGAATGAATTCACGTGTTCGTTATGAATGAAAAAATAGTTACGTCAGAATGTGACCTAATTGAGAGGTCATCGGTTATCCAATCAAATCGTTAGAATTTCAGGTCAAGTCGTTACGACACAGGTCAACGCGATACGACACTCGTGTGACGTACGAGATTAATATGCAACTACCCATACGTTGACCACGTGGGTAATAATAAATAGAGAATCTCACCCGAGTGTCTTCTGATATCAAATATGTCACCACGATTTGATAAAGTTACAAGTATCCGAGGCTTGCCGAGAATATTTTTACTTTTATCAACGAGTGTTGATATATTTGATATCAGAAGACACGAGGGTGAGATTCTATTTATCATAAAAAATCATTCTTCATTAGTTTTCAATGAAAAATGGACATCTCTGACGACTGTACTACGATTAGACTTGCAGTGCAGCGATGTCATAGCATTGTGACGTCATCAAGCTCATGACGTCATAGCATTGTCAGGGCATTGTACAAAATCTACTGTCAAAATGATATCTTCTAGGAGATATCGTATGATCTCACACAAGCAATATCTCCTGTGGAACACAGTTTTGGATGATAGGGATCAAGAGAAGACGTACGTAAACGATGCAACTATAGAGGCGTGACTCTATTAAGTTCCTTAAGTTCACGAAGGTTTAAAATAATAAATTAACAAGTGTAACAGAGGAAAACAACATTATATCAGATGCTCAGTTTGGCTTTAAACAGGGATATAGCACAATACACGCAATTTTTGCATTGCACAGTCTTATCGAGAGGACGTTGATTGAAAGTAAGAAATTATACTGCGCGTTTGTAGACTACCAAAAAGCTTTCGACGGTGTGTATAGAAATGGACTGTGGCTGAAATCATTGAAGCAAGGTATTGGAGGAAAATTTCTGAAAATATGCAAGAGTATGTACAAAGAAGTAAAATCGAAAGTGAAGCTAATAAATAAAATAAGTCCAGTGTTATTCAACAGAACTGAGACAAGGCGAAATATTATCACCAATACTATTTTCATTGTTTATCGAAGATTTAGAACGTAGACTACAAGAAGATATGAGCTCGGGGCTGTGTATAGAAGATATAATGTTGTATGTGTTACTATTTGCTGACGATGTGGTAATGTTGAGTGAAACAGCTACTGGATTACAAACAAGTATTGACAGACTCAGTTTGTATTGTGAAACGTGGGGATTAAACCTTAACACCGACAAGACGAAGATCATGATATTCCGTAAGTCGCCTGCTATGAAAATGGAAACCTGTATCTACAGGGATGTGCAAATAGAGATTGTGAACGAATTCAACTACTTGGGACTACTGTTATCTTTTAACGGAAAATTTCATAAAACAACGAAAGCTCTAGCAGGAAAAGGATTAAAAACTGCAAACGCCCCCATTTCGGATATAAGGAAACACCAGCTTGATATTAAATCATCTGTTGAACTTTTTGATACATGTGTAAAACCTGGGCCTAGATTTTCGAAGCTCCCTTAGCTCTATGATAGTCGTAAGTGCCGTACATTAACGCTAACTTACGACTATCTTAGCACTAAGAGAGCTTCGAAAATCTAGGCCCTGTACTACATTATCGGAGCGAAATATGGGGGTGGATGACAGCAGAATGTATAGAGAAGGTACATAGGAAATTTCTCAAAATGCTACTCAGTGTGAAGGAAAGTACCGGCAATATTCAACCGTAGTGGGAATTAAGGATTCCCACCAATAACAGCAATCAAGAGGAGGATGTCGCATACAGAGAGCTATTGGGCAGAAACCTTCCAGTCAGTATATGTTGCAATATATCGCAGCATGAGAATCAGGACAATATCCAGCCCTCGTATATGTAGTGGTGATAATCACTGGAAGCGATAATCTTTTAGAAGCATTTTGTTGGCTCATCTGAACTAAGTGTTATCTAAGACTAATCCCAGTCAGCCAAATCCCACTCTGGGGTTATATCCCTAAACTTCCACATCCTAAAACTTCCACATCCCAATACTACTGCACATTGTTGAAACAACAACTCCTCATCACCCCTTTTTAGGTAATAGGATAGCCCAGGAAGTGCGCTGAACTGAAACAACAGATAATGATACATCACCTGACTTAGCAGAGTAGAGATTTTAGTAGAGAAGAGAGCAGGTAGATAATAATCCGAAATATATGTAATATATATTCGTGTATATTTCATGTAGTCAAACTTTGCAAATTTTGTTTTCTTGTATTACCTTGAAATGTTGTTGATTACCTTCATAGTATTCTGAATATACAAAACAAAAATTATGCAAGCTTCACGTACATTCAATGTACATATTAAAATATGTAGTTTTACAATATAACATAGCTAAAATATGTTCATTTCAGAGACCAGTTGTTCGTCTAGTAGGGACGGGTAGAAGACAAAAGACAAAATGGACACTCGTGCTGTCATACTTTTGAATTATATGTAAACATTCGTTCTTGTCTCGGGATAAATGTATATTTTCCAGTTTCAACCAAATGTACATTCGAAGGATATCTAAATCTAGGTTAAGCTATTTGAATCATATTTACAATTGAAAGACCCAAACAATGGTCTGTTGTCCAAATTGTTGTTTTTCCATACCATGTCCCAGTCTGTATCACAGTCACAGACCGATATTATTTCCCCTTCTGTCCAGCCCTTACTGTAATATGTATACTGCAATACTGTATATGTTGCACATATACTACACACTGTTAGATGCATGTAGTCAATGCTATGCAAAGCAACGTCCACTTGTATTCAAGATTACACCTGGTTAGAGATGCAAACAAATGTGTATTCGTATGTGCATTTT